ATTTTGAACTGAAGAATGGATATTCAGCTCTTGAGTACTGCATACTCTTCTCGTTTTCTTCTCCACTCAGTGTTGTAGTTTTGTTATTCAATGATGTGTTTTGTACACGTATGCCACACTCATCTCTTCCTTCCGCTCTTGTCTTCCTGTAATTGAAGTAAACAGAATCACATTCACTAATGATCAGCTAATGACTGTCATTGTTAAAAAAGTATTTTTTAACTTTTTCACTTTCTGCTATTGTCTTTGTTATATTGTATACGAGGGCGTTTGTGTTGTCGTAGATGCTATCCTTATTAGTCTTTACGTAATATTTAATTCTAGTGGAAGCATGTTTCCAATGATCAGTAGTTGGAATCTTGGATAGCTTCTTCATATCGTACATTTCAATTTTGATGAGATGCGTCGCTTGGTCTCCGTCGTCAGAATTACTAGAAATGTATGATACACCATCTCTAGCGGCTCGTGCTACGGTTGATGATAACAGCTTCCTCTTTTTTATTTTTGATTCAGCTTCAAAAAAATGATCAATCGATTGCGATTTTCTTTTTCCACCATCGCATCTGTTATTATTAATGACGAGGTTATCACTCTCTTCTTGAGGGGAGAGTGGCGAGTAGTAATACTGTTTATAGGTATCTTCATCGAAGCTCAATGATTTCTGCAACAACACAGTTATCATGTTAATATCAATTTGTTAACACTTAATCATAAAAGTTAAAAAAGTTAAAGTTACAGCCTATTAAAGTCCACTGCTGAACATAGGCCTCCTCTCATTTCTGAGAGGGTTTTAGAGCAAGGAAATGTCCGCCGCGCTCCCTCAATGTGTGTTGGCGAACTTCACATGCCTTCGAAATTTTCTCAGACATGCAGGTTTCCTCACGATGTTTTCCTTCACCACCAAGCACGTGGTAATAAGCACTTAAAATTGCTATTAACAATTTAATTGGTGCTGGCGGGGATCGAACCCGGGTCGCGTACTGTGAAATTTACAGCTAGCGCTTACCATCTGAGTTACCACGGCTTAATCATATACATACACAATATTTAAATAAAATAATACACACACATGAAAATAACAGAAAAAAAGTAATTTAGTCAATAGAATAAACACTTACATCCATAGCCTTTGGTGTATTGAAGTAACACAAATGTACTATTGATAGATCCACTGTAGCCAAACGACCGTACACTAACTCGATGACTGCATTTGTTGGTCTTATATACCACCAGTACGTAAAAATTCTAATCTAAAGTATTTCCGTAATGAGTTGATAATTACTTTATGCGTCAACCAGTTTATCTCACATTTCCGTTGCCTATCTCAACATTTCTTCGTATTGTGTTTTGTTTGGTGATCAATGACTCAAGTACGATTTGTATATCACAAAAATGCAATTTAATATGTAGAAATCACTATAATTGACCATTCCTATGTTATTCATTGAGTAGCTAGGTACTGTAATAATCTACTAATAGCAGTAATATCATGGATACACTAGATGTACAACAACATCTGAAAAAGATTCACCCCAGTCTAGAAAATAATGTTTATGCAGCTAATAGACTGCCTATGTATACCCACGTACCAACGTATATAATATGTAATTTGGATACAGATGATAAACCAGGGTCACATTGGGTAGCTTTATATATCGATACGAATGACGTCGGTCAATATTTTGATTCATATGGACGATCACCTGTACGATATCATCTAGAGTTTTTAAAAAGGAATTGTAAAAGATGGAACTGGAATGTTGATAGGATTCAGAATGAGTGGACTTCAGTTTGTGGCGAATATTGCTTAATGTATTTACTATATAAGTTTCAAGGATGTTCAATACATAGTTTTACGAGTATATTTACAAGGAACACATTGTACAACGATATTTTAGTGGATGAGATGTTTCGCTCCTATTTTATAGATAATAAGTAATAAGATTTTGTATTTTATAAATAAAAATTGTAACAAAATTATGTAATGTGTTTTATTGATGATTCAGATTAGCGTTGTATAATTAGGAACAAAGAACTATAACACAATAGCACTGGTATAGTCGACGCACACGCTGCAATGAAGGTGATTAATGAACAATAGAACAATAGAAATAGGAACAACAATGGGACGCTAATGACGGTGGAGGCCCTTACCGGATATCAATTAGATATTAGCTAATTGATCTACACATCTCTGGAACCGTGCATTCTATACAAAAATGGACCGCGGATTCGTGATCAGAGCATGCCAAAACCTTTTTTTTTTTTTTTTTTAGGATCGGGCGTCGACGAACGTCGTTGAACCACGTCTGACTCAGGTGGTCTAGAAGTGGTACAACTACACTACTGATATGACCGACTTTTTAATCTCGTGATATTCCTGACGGACGCTGCTTAGTTCCGACATGATCTCAGCAAAGGATGCATTTAGTTTCTCAAGATCGGTTTTTAATACGAAGTCTAAATTATTTTTAATTCCTGATATTTCATCTTGAATTTCCTTTTTCCAGTCATGTAATGTTCTACGTATCTCTGAGGTAAAATTATTGAGAGCCTCTGAGAAGTCGTCGTGTTTATGCTTTCGAGTAGTCATATTGCTAGGCTCACCTGATTTATTGATGTCAGGGTTGGAATTGTAAGGCTTGCGTGGCGTGGAATCTTTCCTTATATGAGATAATACACAATCTGCCACTTTCTGATTTGGTTCGGCAAACATCAAAATCCGGCGGTGTTCACGAAAATGTCCGTTTTTCACTCCTAAAATTTCGTGAAATTTGTGCTTATAGAAATTTACACCACTGTATAAAGCATCTTTTTTCGCATCAAATGTATAATTATATATAAAATAATATTATAATAAATAGTTATTTTAATATATTTCAAAATATGGACAATTGTCACCTGTCACTTTTAAACACTTTTTATTTTTATCTGTCATTGCTTATTTCCTTCGAGTCAAAGATTTTTGAAAACATTTATTTAATCCTTTTTCGATTACTACATTTATATCCGTCGTCGGTTTTAAAAAAAATATTTGGCGTTTTTAATGTAAATATTTAGATGACATTTGAGCTTGTGATATTCTTTAGTCCTCTCAAAGGGTCAAAAAAAAATGATATATTGAAAACTACCGGCCCACTAACACTAGATTATAATAGACAGACTGACCGACATATGCATGTATTACACTTATTATATTGTATAAGAAGAAATTTACTCAAATGTATTTTAAAGGTTTAGATTTTATTATTTATTATTGATCAAGGTCACTCAGCGAGCTATGGAGAGGACTATGCTCGGGGTTTCTCTGCGTGATAAACTTAGAAATGAGTATTTCTGCAGTAGAACCAGATTAACCGACTTAGCCCAACGGATTAATAAGCTGAAGCGGCAGTGGGCCGGCCATATAGCTCGAAGAATGCAGGAAGTCGATGGATGCAGGTGGCTCAGGACCGTGCTTTGTGGCATTCCTTGGGGGAGGCCTATGTTCAGCAGTGGAATTATGAAAGGCTGTAATGACAATGATGATTGATTTTTGATTAAATTCAGTTATTATGAGCTCAGAATAAGTCAGTATAAGATATTGACTATAAATGAATTCATTATTTCAAAATTTTATGCACGATGTGTGACCATAATCGAAAATAAGTTGTGTTGTGCAAATAAAAAACACAAAATCATCTGATCACTTTCTGCAGGTTTCCTATAATAGGTAAAGAAAACTTATGGCAATATTCTGGTAAGTCTATAAACACTTTGAATTTATTATCATTATTTGTAGGGATTATTACTGTATTGACTCGAATTGTATCTGTTTCAGTTCATTTATTTGGGCTGAGTTAAGTTATCACCATGAAAATTTCGCTGATTTAAATTTACGTTAATGTTCTGTAAAGAATAACTCTCTGGCAATAACATGTGTTATATATCAGTAACAAGCGTGGAAATATTATGTGCAAAAGCAATAAAAAACATGAAAAATTACAGAATACAAAGGTTTGAAATTCCTGCGAAAAAAGTTTCATATTAGCGCCCACTGCAGCGCTAGAAGTATAAACGTATAGATGCGTATCTCAGTTTTTTAGTTTGGAGATGGCGTTCTTCTCTCGGTAGAGAGTAATTGTGTTCTGTGGTAGTGATTATATGCTCTTTGTCCATGTTTGTATTATAATAAATTAAAAGGAGTTTTGGCGGGAACTTGAACGGTGGCGGTTTGCTACTCCTGTATTATTGTTTAAATAATGGTTGAACCAAATCGTACAACCAGTGCGTGTTGCCAGTGATGACTTACGGATCTGAGACGTGGTCCTTTACAGCTGGCCGTATGGGGAAGCTCAAGGTCGCTCAGCGAGCTATGGTGGCTCAGAACCGTGCTTTGTGGCATTCCTTGGGGGAGGCCTATGTTCAGCAGTGCTTATGAAAGGCTGTAATGATGATCATGATGATGATGATGATGAATGGTTTGAAGTGGATTTTGATCGATTGGATTTGATAGGATTTTGTGGTGGAGTTGGTGCGATTTTGTGTATTAAGTGTCTGCACATGTGAACTATTAGTGGAAACGGTGAAACAAGCGCTCTGATGGTGATGTGATTCTCAAGATAAGGTGTCTATCTAGGTAGGCGCCTTGAGATACCATCGCCAACTGTTAGCTGTCTGCTGGCTCAAGTTGCCGTCAAAATCTCCTAAGGGCTGCACAATGTGACGCATCAACATATTGTGAAACAGTGTATTATGAAGGATAATAATATACGTTGTAACTTTAGGCTCCGAAGGGCTAGAACCCAGAGCCGTAAAGCCAGTTTTTAAAAAAAATTATATTTGCTGTCAAAAAGCCGTTCACTATATTGATGGGTGTTTTCTGTTTTCTGTGTTAAATTATACATAAAGATTTAACTTTGTGTTGGTTTCTTGTTATGCCGTATAAAAATGGTTTAAACTCGATTGTGTGTTATATATAATAATAAGTGATTTTGTACTAACTATTAACTAAATCCAAAATGTCCGTACCCAGCACAGGATTGAGCAAGTTAAAGAAGAAACATATTCGTGTTAAACATCAAAAAGTGAAATTGTTTCGTGCTAATGAACCGTTACTATCCGTTTTTATGTGGGGAGTTAATCATACGGTAACTGCTTCATTTCATAATATATTACATACTAGCAAGAAGAGTAACTAATCGCTCCTAATGCAATGATACTTGTAGGATCCTGCAAGACTACATATTTTAATTTTCGTAGCTGGATTGAATTTATGATATTTAGTCGAATAAATGTCATAATTTTGTTTGAATGCTATGTATTGTATATATCTGGCACTTATTCAAGTCTCATTCTACCCTTGTGGGGGTATAAATAGTTATCATTATTACCGTGATCGACTAAGGGTCGCTTGTAATGCCAAAATATTTTGGGTGCCCTAGTTACATGTAAATATATTATTGCTTGTTAATTTTAGTTTCATTAAAATTTAAATATTTCCTTTTTGCAGATTAATGAACTAAGCCATGTTACTATACCAGTTATGCTACTGCCGGATGATTTTCGAGCATATTCAAAGCTCAAAGTTGACAATCACTTATTTAATAAGTAAGAAACATTTTTTTATCACTTTTATTATAGATAATTTATTATTATTGTGTTACAAGGAATAAAATTTTCACGTAACTGAGATAAGACAAAAATTTAAAAAATGGTTATTAATGTTTATTGCATGCAAATAACACCCTCAGCTCTATATAAGGCAGTCAGCATATACTTCAATTGTATATATATATATATATATATATATATATATATATATATATATAGATTGTAATTATTATTTTTCCATGCAGATAGTGATGGTATAATATATATACCTTCAATCAAGTTGTCGTAATGACAGTGTAGTTAGCACACATTCATTGGAACTTAGTCAAAGGATAAACTGTGAAAATCTGAACAGTGGTTGTTGTCTGTCATTACTTGTGGAAAGAGGTGTGTCATGCTGCATAAATCATTAAATTATGTACAAATCATTACATTATTTACAAAAAAAAATTAATTAAAGAAAAGATGCAATTAGTAATAGCATTATTGGAATGTATGGGTTGAAGAGAAGTAATTTTATAAACATCCTCTTAAAATTGCTATTTTTGTAGTCATATATTTTTTATTTGCTTTGAGGAAAAAAGAGATTCACTCTATCATGCAGCTATATAAACTCGGTCATAAATTTATTTAATTTTTTCAACTATATTTGACTCACTGACATTTCCTTTCCTTGACAATAATTGATTGACAATCAGTCTAGGTTGTTTAGACTGTCAAAAGATATGATCATGTTATAAAGTTAGATGAAGTTTTCATTGAACCTTTGATATGATATTGGTTGTTTGGACCGCTTTGATACCATTTAATTCATGATTGAATAGGTGTCACATATGACTAAAGCTTATGGTGATAGTTTGGTGGTCTACTGTTGGTGCTATTTACTAACCATTATTGTTATGAGTTGCAAATGAAGATGGAAAAACTGACTCTTAAACAACCCAGATCGGTGAACTGCTCTTTGCCATTGCTTCTTCATGACAATGAGCAGCCACATACTGCACAACAGATGTTGGCAAAATTAGCAGAGCTTCAGTAAACAGAAAGATGTATAGCAAATGAGTAACATATCGAGGAAACCATGAAGCTAATACAAAGGGGAGACGGCATAAGCAACTGTGCACTGTGATTCTAAGTAGGTCCTGACGTCATCATAGTGGGCGTGGCTTTAGTTAGTATACTGTCAGCATTCGTCCTGTGCGCTTATGTGTTGAAAAAATCGCAAATCGGTGTATTTTCGTAGTATTAAGAAGAAAAGGATGAAGTGTTGTGTTTTATTGTGTAAAAACTACTCAGATAGACGCTCTGATGTTATGGATGGCATCACATTTCATTTGTAAATATTTTTACACCTAATTTATTAAAATAGTTCTAGAAAAATCTCTTTGCGTCGGCTTTCAAATATAACTAAATATATTCCACACTAGATGGCGACACTTTGTGTCCTGTGAACTAAAAATATAAATTTACATAGAGCTCAGTAATGATAAAATAGTCATACAAAGGTGCTGAAATTTCTTTGCATTCAGACATAAAGAAATTTTAATCGCCAAAGTGTTATTTTTAAAGTTTATAACATTTTGTGGACATGCCGCCATCTACCGTCAAGGTAGCTAAGCTACATTGCAACATCGATATGGAAAGATTCGAGTAGTTTTACTATTTATCGGTAGATGTAGATAGTGTAGTGGGCGGGGCTTTGCATCCCCTCACCCCGCAAATTGTCACGCGTTGTTACATAGTGAAATTTAATTACAACGTCTCCTCTTTGTATTTGCTTCATGGAGGAAACAGCAAAGGGCCTTAAGAGGAAATAAATCAGGCATTTGCCACCCTTGCATAGCAGTTTGTTACAAAGCTCAAAAAAATTATTCAGAAAGAATTATCCACAAGAAAAAGTGGACTTCAAGGAACTAAAAAGAATAAAGCTTTAGAGGTCAGTGTTAAGACATGTGTATAGAACATTTAAAGCCCATCTTCAAAAGAATAATATATTGGATAACACACATACAGTTGAAGTAGTAAATGTAAAAATAATGAGATTATAATCAAGTTCTACTTGTGTTAATAAGTTAATTAATTAGTTTTTGTCTCTTTGTTTTATAAAGGTTCTACAAAATATGTCACAAGAAGTGTAACAAAATACAATCCATTAAGACTTTATACATTTTAGCTCTAAAAAGCTGAGTATTTATGCATGCTGCTCTTTATTGTCAGACTACCAACAAAAGTTATTATCGTTAAAAGGAAATAAATCTGCATAAGAAAGATTGAAGACCAAGAAAAGAGATACAAATGTTTATTCAGTAGCTATGAGTTTAGATATTCCGGACGTCAGTCTGAGTGAGAATAGAATGGCTCTTCAGCACCTTGAAAACGGCAAGTCCCTGGCTGAGGATGGAATTACAGCAGAGCTTCTGAAAGCGGGTGGAAAACCGGGCATTCGCAATTCCTTCTCTTCTTCATGGAGGAAGAGAAGGAAATGCCAAAGTATGATCTATTTGAATGCGAATGTAGTTTTTATCCTCGCAGGATAGATTTTAAATTATTCTAATAAATTGGAATGTGCTCTAGAGGATCTTATGAGGAAGATAAACAAAATTTGCTAAAAGGCAATTAATATAATATTGCAATGAAAAGGAAAGTATACAATACATGCATACTACCAATCCTTACCTATGAGTGCCAGACCTGGCCAAACACACAAAAACAAAACCATAAACTGATTACATGCCAAAGAGCCATGGAGAGGAGTATACTGGGTTACACAAAAAGAGGTCTAAGACAAATTACCAAAATTAAAGATGTAGTAGTTAAAACTAGAAAACTCAAATGAAAGTGGATAGGCCACATGATGAGAGAGAATAGAAATAAATGGACAAAAGATATAACAGAATGGACCCCTAGATACCAAACAAAAAGGAAATGTGGAAGACAAAGAAAATGTTGGTCTGATGACTTAAAAAAGCATGCGGGTCCATATGGCACAGAACAGCTAAAACAAGAGCAGAATGGAGAAAGCTGAAGGAGGCCTTCGTGTCGCAAATACACGCCGACGCGACGCCCGATAACGACATACTTACCTAATAATATAATATCAACTAAAATTACATACATAGTGATATTAATAATGTATAATAGTAAGTCAATAATGTTAATGCTAATAATGAATTAAATGTTAAGGTCAATTTTACTTTTAAAGTTATATATTTTAATTTGCATATTTAATTTTTAACTATGAAATGATAAATTATGTATATTGTGTTGCCAATAAAGACTTATAAATAAATAAATAAAAATGAAATTTGCAAGACTTGTGAAGAAAAGTTTTTACATGGTAGAGCCATGCTGCAGCTATATAAGTAGTATAGTTGTAGCACGAATGGGTCAGCTCAACCGGGGAAGGACCACGCTCTCTCAGAATACCAGCGTAAATTAGCAGCTTGATACTGTTGTGTTTCATATGGTGAGTGTAGAGAACTGGAGACCCATTTTACTGGAAAAGAGGCATTCCATCTTAGTCCTCATGGGTGATGACGCCTCTTCATTTTGATTCTTTATTGAGGATAAATGTAGATGTCTATGGGTCACAGCAACCACTTACTATCAGGTGGACTGTGTGCTCATTTGTCACCCTATCCTATAAAAAAAAAGACTTACGGTGGCTGACGAAGACGCCCAAGCCTTTAATCATCACCATCATTATAACCTATCAAAAGTTTATTGCTGAACATAGGTCTCCCCTGCAGATTGCCTCGTAAGAGGAATTTTGCTATAATTAATATGGGGTAGTGGATTCTCTTAGACTCTAGATCTGAGAATTTTGCATGCGCGACGTGTGTAGGAAGTTCTACTAGGGAAATCAAGATTCCAACCTTTTATTGCATGAAATTATATCTAACAATCAGATTGTACATATAAATGATATAAAAAGCACATTGTCAGAAAGATAAATAATTGTTGATCTTATAATTTTTTTTTAAATCGATTATTTGTTATTTCTACATTAAAAAAAGTGGTTTTAGTGGCTTATGGTGTGAATTTATCAAGTCCGCATGGAGGGATTAACATGATAACTTTTGAAAATATAAATTTTTCAACTCAATCTATTTTTTAATCTCTTCATCTAATCATGTGGAAAGCCATGGAATGTAAAAGGCAGTTTACTTTTGTTTTGTTTAGTTATAATTAATTTTTTTCGGCTGGGAAATCTCGAAGCTTGGCGTTTTGAGCAGCCTTGTAATAATTTATTTTACTAAATAGACTGCCTCCCTCACTCACTTCGGGCTCAGTCGCCGTTGTGAGTGGATACTGTATTGGTTGTTTGCAGCGGCTCGTACTCACAAAGATCGCTGTACAAATACAAAATATTCGAAAAACCGAATTAGATACATATTTGATTATTATAATCACAGATTTTTATTACAATATTTTAAAAGCACAGAATAAATAATAGTACAACATACTAAAAGTAAATAGGATGTATATATAAATATACTTAAAACTCTCTTGGACGTTATGGAGTGACCTGAGTGATGATATGATGATCATATGAGCATTAAAAATTGTGCAATTTTGGATTTACCAAATTTTTTTTTATTGAAGTTTGATATAAAATTATTGGAAAATTGGAAGTATAATAATAAGGTTATTAGTGAAAACTTGTGTGTATTTAAACTACTTTAAAAAAATTACGTATAATCATGTTATATGTAATGTTCTTAATGCACTTAGGGCATGCACAATTGGATTTACCCATAGTTTTTTTTTCAGGTAGATTTATTAATTCATTTATCAGAACCTCTACCTCGATTGCCAGGTCATCAAATTTATCAAAACTATCCATTACGTGTTGTTGTAATAAACGCAAAATCAAGAAATATAAAAGTAAAATCTTATTGAATGATACCATTTTTCAAGTGACTGGTTAATTGGTCATTATAAGGAGGGACCCATAGGGAGATATTTACAACACCAAACAAAAGAGTCTTATTATATTTGTCGTAATCAACGATAGATATTGGTGTCTATGGGCCAGATCATCCATTTGAAACCCAAATTGTGTATTAGTTTGTTTCCCTTCTATTAAAAAAAAAGTCAATCATACTACTTATTTATGTTATACATAAGAAATATGTTTGGTAAATGAAAAAATATCTTTTACAGAGAAAACATGCCATCCCATTTTAAAGTAAAAGAATACTGTCCACTGGTATTCAGGAATCTTCGAGAGAGATTTGGGATCGACGATCTTGACTACAAGGAGTCACTCACAAGGTAAGAAATACCTGACTTTAAATTATTCTGAGTAAATGGACACTTTATTGTTAGTGAAAACTTACTACTTTCTTGTTTATGGTTATTTTTATATTACATGTATTTATATCGATTTTAATTTCCAACATTATATCGAGCTGGTATCCCTTTTCCTACCCCATCCTATGGTCCTTAGGTTTAGAAAGCCAGATAACTACCTGTGTTCGCGGGCAATGAAGAGGGTTGCCAGTAAACTGCGGCGGTCCGAAACCGCACCATCCTGCTTTGCCAACATGAAAAACGAAACTCACCAAGAGGGAATATTCCACGATGCGAGTGCATTCGTTAAGCGTGGCTTGACGATTAAACGCCTGAGGTCAGCGGAGTTTTTAGCAGCTGTACGAGTTTTTTTTACCTTTTTTATCAATAACAGTATGTAGTGTGCCTTCTGAACTGACAGCAAAACGCATCATTTGCATATCCCACAAAGTCACTGGCTGCAATTTCGCCGTTATTTGTAACACTTAAAATCACAACGGGTAGTTATTTAACGTCTGCCTTGAATCATGTAGGGTAAAAATTCCTTAATTTTTGATTTACCAATAATTGTTCACATGTATATCCTTTATCCCTTCTCTGTTCCATTTTAAATCTGTAAATTACTTTTTCCTTCTCTTTTCTTAAGTTTTTAACACTACTCACTCTAATGCAAATTATCACCACTCGCACTTTGAAACACAATTATTGTCGATTTAAGTGGTATTTTGTACCGAACGTAAATGTAGGGGTAGCGTGTAAACTGCTTTCGTTTTTAAGTTCCAGTGTCATACAAGGATTATAAGTTTCCTTATTAATTACACACTGTTCTAAAGTCTCATAGCATCTTCCTTTGGTGAAATTAGATAAAAATATTAGGGTATATTTTGACGTCATAGTTGCCCATTTTGAGATAAGAAATAAGTTGATCTTGATAATATCATAGACGGTCCCCGCCATTACATTAGATTTGATAAACCACAAATTTTCGCGAAAGAACATCGATTCCCGCCAAGGATGATACGTGAGGCTATTGAAATTAAAAAAAAACATCCTAATTTCAATAGAAAGGGAGGCTGGGTACTATCACCTGCTTGGGATCCTGTAATTAATAAAATTAAAACTAAACCCAAGCATATCACTGCAACACTTCAAGACACTGTAAGTTCATTCTGCGTAGATCGGACCAAAACTAATAATTAAAAAAGCTGAAGGTACTCCGGGTTAACTCTGACATCAGGACGTCAATGACCTCAGTCCCCGGTGACCATGGTAAAGCACCCGAAATATCGGGAATTTAATTAAAAAAAAAGTAAATTAAACGCGATAGAATCCGAAAAAGTAGTTTTATTCAATGTGTATTGTTCGCGTAAATATAAGAAATCATTAATAAATAAGAATATTTATAGAAGAAAAGTTATAGTTATGATAACTATAACTTTTCTTAACTATCTTTAGTCCCGTAAGTAATTTTTTGTTTTCCTACATCGAGTATCATACCTAAACCTATCTAGGTTTTTAAAATAGTCATGAGGCTCCATAAACCATTTTCAGCAATTATTATTGTTTTTTGAAATTTCAAGTTTAACATTTTAATTAAGGCGACCAAATATCTGCAAATACAAAAAAGTGCTTTTTTTTAAAACTTTTTTTTTATATTCTACTAAGCCAGCGCTTATCTATGATCCCACCTGATGGTAAGTGGTGATGTAGCCTAAGATGGTGAAGCTGATTTAACTTTTTTTTTATTAGACTATGGATTAAAATTTAACAAACACAGTAGCATTTGAATTTTAGATAATATTAGTGATAATCAGTACAGTGGATAATATCACGCTTGTTGTAATGCGAGGCGAGCATGGGTTATGTCGGACTCGCACCAACTAAAATTCCACGGTGTTCCACCTTCGCTAGTTATTGGCAGTGCTTAGGGAATGCTTCCTCAAATATCCGTAACCCTACCAGTGCCAGCTGCCGAGTCCTTCTCGGGCGAGGACAACTTCTCCCTCTATTCTTGTCTTTAGGAAAATGGCTTAAGGCCCTACCCTACGCCACGACAAGGCGGTAACCCGTTCAAAAGTCACACGTCAGTTTATACTTTATACATACGATTGATGTCTCCTGGTGAAATTCAATGTATTTGATGGGAAATGTGAAACATTACTTATCCACACACTTTTGTATCTATATAAATATTAAAATGGCCGGATACAGTGAATCCAAGTTAAAGCCTTGCATTTGGTGAACTGAACAAAATTGTAGCGTTGTTACAAAAACAATCTGTTTAATATTTGTGATTTTATAACGAATTTGTGATACAAGAAGACCCTTAATAAGGTCTTTGGATATCTTTCTATCTTATCTGTGACTTTATTAATATTACGAGTATCTGCAAATAATTTAAATAAAATATTGAACTCTTAGAAATAATTAATGAGCAAAGAATGACGAAGCAAATTTATGCAGAATTGAATGGCACAGCCGGCAAGGGACGTCCTAGAGGGAAGTTTATCGACCAAATTATATCGACGAGCATGTATGCGTAGATAGATAGATATATGGACGAGAAAGGGGCGAGAGAGGTGTGTCAGGATCGTGCCAAATGAAAATCCATAATCTCTGCCTACCCCTCTGGGTAACAGGCGTGGGAGTTTTTTTATGTATGTTATGTTAATACCTTTTAGCCATCGAGTTTTAAGATATAACGTTGAAGCTGTGACGATGTGTGTTAGACTTTGTCATTTCATTCTTGTTTTTTACAATGCGATGATGCTAACTTTCCCACTTTCACAATTATTTGTCTATAGATTACCGACAACATTCTATTCTTACCTTTTAAAATGTAACACATGATAAATGTGCACATGATAAATGTTTACTTTGAACTTATTAACGACCCGTTTGACCTCACTTCGTCCTTCACTATCTGATCAGGCTATTTTTGTTAGTATTATATATTGATTTTATGCAGTGTTTTTATTTGGTTTGAAACGAGAAAAGGTTTTTGAAGGTCAGTTTTAGGGTTTTAGGATACATGTATTTTTAAAAGTTATACCTAAGTCATAAATATTACCTTTCTGTATTTTTTTCCTTCGCGTGGAATCACATGCTTAAAATGTTCGTTCTTTTTAATCAAAAATTGTAGCGTTACTACAAGGTTGGAAGGCACCGTGAAATAAATTTTAACTGTGGATATTTATGACGAAAGCTAGTTGAGGGGCCACTCTTTAATGGGTCGAATTTCACGTTGGTGAAGCCACAAAAAAATAAAAGTAATTAATTACATATTTACCTGTTATGTAAAACATTAGCCTTTAATATATTTTAATTTTTTTTTTCTATTGAAACGGCCTCTGAGTGCGTCTTTGTCCTGTGAGCTTATTGAATAATCGATAACCAACTCGAATAAAAATGTAAGCCTGTGAAGCTTAAACTGAAACTATAGTCCATATTTATACCTTTAGTAATAATTTACAGTCGAGCCGTTTCAAAGATTAAAAAAAAACCAAAAAAAATTAAATAGATTTTCGAGCATTGCGCTCGAAAATAAGCGGGAAGTTCCAGGGATGGCCAGCAGGCCGATATTCAACTTTCTTTTCTTGAAATTGCGATCTCAGAGAGAGTCCTGTGAACTTTGTGAACAATCATTATCCGACTCGAACAAAACATGAATATTTTGTTAATGTTATTCTTTTATGCGTGGTATGGTCACACTACAAGTGTATTATGGCAGGTGTGTAAGGCAGTTTAACAGTGGTAGAGCCACGCGGCAGCTTTTGCTGTCGCACGGATGGGCCGGCTCGAACCGGGGTAGTACCACGACCTCACAGGAAACCAGCGTGAAGTAGAGGTTTACCTCTGCGTTTCGCTTGGTGAGTGCAGGTGGCCGGAGGCCCTTTTTACTGGAAATGAGGCATTTCATCTTAGTCCTCACGGGTGACAACGCATCTACATTTTGATTTGTAACAGAGGATAGATGTAGATGTCTATGGGCCGCAGCAACCACTTACCATCAGGTGGACTGTGTGCTCGTTTGTCACCCTCATCCTATAAAAAAAAAAAAAAGGTGTTATGAGTCGGCTGAATCGGCGAAGGACCACGCTTTCACACGATTAGGACCACGTTTTAGCGATAATTAGTTAGAAGCATAGAAACAGAAACTTTTTTATTCAATATAAATTATAAATAATACTTATTGAAAGTCACTATTTTGTTTAATTACCGCTGGTTCGAAAAAAAACCTCTGTCCTGGGAAGAACCAGCAAGAAACCCAGCGGGACTTTTTATTTAAATAACAGCTTACAATCATGTATGTTACACAATTAACCACACAAAACAAACTAGAAATAGCTTGGTAGCGGTCACCTCATTTTCAGGGATTATTATCATCCATAAATTCCTTAATATTATAATAACTCTTTTTATACAAACTTTGTTTAATAAAGTTTTTGAACTTTGAGCAAGTCAAATTATGTTTATTTTCTTTCATAAATGCTGCTGTGTTTCGTATGGTTAGTGACGAGATACGGAAACTGTTTATACTGGTACCGCAGCATTCCATCTAAGCCCGCAGGGGTGACCACGCATCTGCATTTTTCATTCTATGACTTGTTTTTGGCCTGATGAAACTTGGTTGGAAGGTGGATTGTGTATTCATTTATCATCACAAAATTTTGTGGCATTGTTTTAGATACGTAACATTTGTTTAGTTCTTCGTTCAGCTTGGTCGTTTTCAAAAAGGAGGAGGTACTCAATTCTACTGTATGTTCTTTTTTTATGTGTTTTTTCTGGGTGAACCGATTTCGATGATTGTATTTTTATTTGAAAACTGGTGCAACTCAAAAACTGAAGGTCTGACCATTAGTTTTTGAGTTATTCTTAATAATTTATATTGAATTGGTTGAACAAAATTTTTAATTATTGTTTTCATCTCTTAATGACTATTTCTCTAATTATGAACATGTTTTTTTTTGCCGATTCTTTTTTTATTTATGTAGTAAAAATGCAATGTAATTTAAAGATTTATTTCTACTCATTACGTAACTTGAAGAATCAAATTACAAAAGGAATCGTATCATATAGCGCCCACTTTTAATTATTTTTGATTAATGATGGCGCTTCTACAGCACCATGAATGTTCTTTAAACCCACTATTGTAATGTACGACCTCAATTGGGTTTCTAACTGCTAGTAATTGGTAATTAACGCTTAATTTGCTAAAGAAACATTTATTATCATGTTTTTTTATAGCCATGATAGTTCTGAGGCCAAGTGCTCGCTGTAAATACGCGAGCAGACCCGTGTTCGATTTCGGCTGTTCGATTTGTTAAAGAAAGAACCATGCACGCATAAATAGCAGCACTTTATACGTGGTATATTTTTTATAGGAGAGCGGGCAAACGAGTATACGGCTCACCTGATGGTAAGTGACTACTGCCGCCCATGAACAACTGCAACACCAGGGGAACCACAGATGCGTTGCCGGCTTTTTAAATAGGAGTAGGCTCTTTTCTTGAAGGTCCCTAAGTCGTATCGGTCCGGAAAAATCGCTGGTGGTAATCGATTCCACAAGCATGTTGTGAGAGGAAGAAAACATCTTCTAAATCGCACACATATTACGGTTTTGGCGGCTATATTACGGTGGTAACACAAATGGGTCGGCTCGAACGGGAAAGGACCACGCTCTCACAGAATTTCGACTTGAAATAGCAGCTTAATGCCGCTGTTTTTCGTGTGATGAGTGTAGAGAACCGGAAACCCTTTTTACTGGAAATGAGGCATTCCATCTTAGTTCTCAGGGGTGACAACGTATCTGCATTTAGATTCTTAAACGAGGATAGATTTAGATGTCTATTGGGTTCACTTACCATCTGGTGGACCGTGCTTGTTTGTAAATCTTATTCAGAATAAACTAGCAACAAATGATGACGTTTCTTATTGCATATTAGTCGACAGGGATGTCGACGCTTCTGCATTTTTATTATCGAAGATCGATGTGGGCGTCCATGAGTCTCAGTATCCGATTACCATCAGGTGGTCTGTGTGCTCGTTTGTTACATGTAATATGAAAATATTACATTTTAGAAAATATTCACATAATTATTATAACATTTTATAATATACAGATTAAACACGAACCAAAATCATTTGTTTTTAATAACGTTAACTGTTAATGTGTGTGTGTGAAAATAGAACTGTACCTCCACTAACCAGATATGTACGTTGTCGTTCATCGGTATTACATAATGTTTAAAAATAAGCAAATGTTTCCTTATTTAGTGTTTAGTTTTTCGTACTCATGTTCTTTATGTCTGAAAACCCAGAAATTAATACTTTTTTGGTTTTTTTGTCAAATATTTAAAAATGGAATCATCAAATATCTTTTAATTCATCATCACAATAACCGATCTGTACTTGCTCATTTACTCAACTTCGGGGAGAAAGTAAAAAAAAATAGCTTTTGGTGGTCATGGTTTAGGCCAACATATTATTTTTCATTTATCAGGTATAAAATAGCCACAGATTAAAACTATTATTTCTTTCTACAAATCACAGATTATGAAATCACGTGTTGTGGTTTTGTCGACAGATCTCAGCCGATTCCGGACGACTCGTCCGGCAAATCGGGCGCCAAGTTCTACCAGAGCTATGACCGCTTGTTCATTCTCAAGACCCTTACATCGGAGGAGGTGGAGAGGATGCACTCATTCCTCAAGCATTATCACCCAGTAAGTATTGACGGTGCTTTTTACTTTTTTTGACATGAGCGACAATTTTTATGCGTGGTAGAGCCATGCTACAGCTATATTAATAGTGTAGTTGTAGCACGAATGGGTCGGCTCGACCTGGGTAGGATCACGCTCTCATAGAATACCATCGTAAAATAGCAGCTTACACTGCTGTGTTTCGTTTGGTGAGTGTAGAGAACCGGAGACCCTTTTTACTGTAAAAGAGGTATTCCATCTTAGTCCTCACGGCTGACAACGCATCTGCATTTTGATTCACAAACGAGGATAGATGTATATGTCTATGGGCCGCAGCAACCACTTACCATCAGGTGGACTGTGTACTCGTTTGTCACCCTATCCCATAAAAAAAAAACTTCCGTATAATAACGCTACTTGATACATTTGTTCGAGCAAACACAGAAGCACTCAGTGATATTAAAAATAGATGAATGTGTGGGTGCGTTTCGGTCACCCTCAATATCAACTTCCGATCTGTTTACTAATAATTGTAAGATCTATTTTTATATTGAAAAAAAAAACTACAATATAGATTTATTCGAAATCTTAATCAGGTCTTCACTATTATGCCATTAAGTAATGTGTAATTATTATAATATATGTTTATGTTATTATATATGTATATGTCTTCACTATTATGCCAGTAAGCGTCGAATAACAATCTATACATCTATACAAATAAATAAAATTGAAGTGTCTGTTTGTAATGTCAAAATTACAGCTTTTTACTAAATACATATGAAAGTATATACGGTACTAATAACAAAAAAAAAACAATTTTTAAAGTTTTTGTCTGTCGGTCTGTCTGTCTGTCTGTTTGTTCCGGCTAATCTCCAAAACGGCTGGACCGATTTTGACGGGATTTTCACTGACAGATAGCTGATATCACAAGGAGTAACTTAGGCTACTTTTATTTTAGAAAAAGAATTAGGGTTCCGCGCAAAAAAAAATGAATACCCCAAATAACACGCGGGCGAGGTCGCGGGGAACGGCTAGTTAACTTTAAATTAAAATTAAAATCTGACATCAAGTTCTGTAGTTGGTGTTAAAACATAGTATATAGAAGAAAATTTATTTTTTATCCCGTAAGTGGACTACGGGATATCTCAATGTCGTCTAAATAGTTACATTAATAACTCCATCCCCTATTTTTCCACCCTTAGAAGTGGAATTCTTTCTCCGTATCCATATGGGACAAGCCCTGACGTATAAACATATTGACTAAAAGAATCATAAAAATCGGTTATGAGTTGACAAAAATATCGCGTAACATAAACATACAAAAAACAAACCGTCGAATTGAGCACCTCCTCCTTTTTAAAAGTCGACTTAAAATTTTGTTTGCGATGTATAAGAGACGAACAAGATCATCAAGAACTAACCGTACATCGAATGTAAATTTACGGTGAAATTCAAACATAGTTTTTTTTTTAAATAACTTTAATAAAAAGTAAAAACCAACTTCAAACAGGGAATAAAACTAATTTCACATTCTAAAGTCAGCTTTTACCTTTTAGGGTTTCGTACCTAAAGGGTAACCAACGGGACCCTATTACTAACTCTCCGCTGTCCGTCCGTCTGTGTGTCAGCAGCTGTATCTTATGATCGGTTATAGGTAGACAATTGAAATTTTCACAGAATGTGTATTTCAGTTGCCGCTATAACCCACACATAATAAAAATAAAAATAAATAAAAATTGAAGGGCGCTCCCCTACTAAGAACGTGTATTACGATAGAACGGAAACCTTCATGCGCGAGTCCGACTCGCACTTGGCCCGTTTTATTATTAAAAGTTAATGTTGTTTACCCTTTTGAGTAGACTGCGAAATATCATAATCTGTGTCAACTAAATCGTTCGATTAAAAACTTCATCGGCTATTTACAACCCATGGAACTTTTTCTCAAAACTTATATAGGACCACATCTGAAGTATATATATATATATATATATATATATATATATATATATATATATATATATATATATATATATCTACTTAATAAAAAAAGAATCATTAAAATCGGTTCACAATATTGACGTAACCAATTACATGTATAAAGGGTTATTTTGCAATAACCGGCTACATTTGCAGAGAAAGTTCAGAATAAGTAATATAGGCAAGTAATATAGTGAAGAAAAATAATAAAAAAAACCATTCTGAACTTTTTATCTTTTAAATTCAAAATGCGTGGTAATGCATTATTTTAACTGATTTTACTGCGCACGCACACATTCGTAAGGGTCGATCGGTAGGCAAAAACGTTGTTGCCTATAAATCACTTTAAATTTGGGACGATTTCAAATAAAAGTAGAAGCCTTACTCGTATTTTCAAAAACTGCAATAACGGTATATTATTGATATATTTCAACTTAAGTTTAAAATTTGGCTACTCTTTGAAAAATAACCCTGTATGTAAAAAAGGTAGATAAGTTGACTACTTTAAAATTTAAGCGTTGAAGTGTTCAATTAGCCACTCCATACACACTTCATTTTATTATGTTTTATTAAATTTAATCCTTTGGCTAACAAATATGACATACATGATTACGTAAACTTAAAGAAAAAGACAACAATAGCCTGGCAATGTAGTGAAATGTAAGTGAAACATTGAAATGTGTAGGTGTGCTGCCGCCAGGATGGCTGGCTAACATACTCGTGCATACAAATAAGAATAAAAAACAAACATACAGCTACATTGTTAACCGTTTTTTTTTAAAGTCTGCTAAAAATTGCATACACGAATAACATTTTGAACTCGTGACGCCTGTAATAGTGTGTTGAAAAAAAACCTTTTAGTCACGCGGTAGTTAAAAGTTCGGTACTTATATTTTTTATTATTTATATGAAGTAGTAAACAGATCGTTAGTGAAAACTGTTATAGAGACACTCTCAAGTTGTCAGAGAGGATTTATCTTCACCACCATCTCTGGACAGTACCCCATAACCGATTTGAGTATTCTTCTTGATATTCTAACATTTTCCGCAATCTAAAGTATTTGGTCATCTTACGAAACCCATTGGACATGAGCTGGATGATTCCTTATGCCATACCAGCATGGTAATCCAACCAAAATGAGAACGTCTCGTGTAAACATTTACAAAAACCTTGATATATGTTTAGAGTAATATAGTAACTATGAGTAAAAGTACATTAAGATGACGGGTAATCTGTTTTAAACGATCCGACCTTCAAATCAAATTACTTGTTCGTCTTTATATTGCCTTGGTAGAGGATGTTGAATGAAAAAATGGTTTTGTCATTGGATAGTTTGTGATGAATGTTTTAATAAAATTTATTATTACGTTTTATATTCATTGATAATACATTTATTTATATTCTTAAAACATAGTATAAAATTGAATCTATAATCATAAATAACAAATAATATAAAACTAAAAGGTTACACACAATATTAAAAAAAAAACTATAATAAAGTAAAACTAAAAATTTTAATTGTGATACAGTCCTTCTCCCTCTGGTATCGTGCCAAGAACGCGGGTTGCGTTTCTTCGCTGAATAGCCTTTAAGCGAGAAAAGAACCAGCCCTCATATCACCAGCAGCGACGACCAGTCGCGGTTACAGTTCCTTTAGGAACTTCACCGCACGTAGACCCCACGGATCGATAGTCTCTACAGCGAATGGAACAAATTTGTAGTCATCTCTCAAAGACTTATATTTGCGCCACTTACTTAATTCAGCTGCCTCTGATGCCACCCCGGCTCTAAACGAGAGGTCGCCAAAGTGTCTACGAAAGTAGCATTCCACGCTAGGGCTTTAATAAATTGATAAAGCACTAAGCATATAAAACTTATTCAAATGTGAACAACAGTGCTCACGATTTATTTGAAAGAACCAAGTAAAGAGAACTACCATAGGTGATGATATTTTCAAAAAAACAATTCATTTCTTCATTAATTACAGCCTATCAAGTCCACTGCTGAAAATGGGCAGCCCGTCATAGGAGGTAAATTTGCCATAACTGCCACGCTTGGCAGGCGGGACCGTAGTTTTATTTTTATTTTTAGTACCCATCTCCTTACGACACTCACGGGACGATATGGAGTAGTGGATATTCTTACACCGCCACTACACGGTCAAGACCAATTCACAATTACCTACTCTACTGTTTTATTCACCTTAGTACTAATTGCTTCAAATTTTTAACTAGTTTTATTTAAAAGTACTATTTGTTATAATATAGACTTCCAAGCGGCTGTAACTAGCGTTCGCAAAAACGCAACATAAAATGTCTCTTATGTAATTGGTATTTGTAAAAATTTTGTATTCTACGAGTATAACGATAGACTTACGGTGATTAAAACATATGTTTAACTGATGGAACCTGGAGAGAATTTAAATTGTCTTTATGATAATGACTATTGACTGTCCTATTCTATCATAGATAATTTAGTGATGTTGGTAATGAGTTTTACGTTGTTTTATTTTGTATGTCTATCAAGAAATAAGGGCAACGACATTTGTTCTTTCAAATGATAAAATATTTGAGTAATTTAAAATACATTACAATACATGGGGTTTTATAATACGTTAATACCTATTGGTAGGTCGTCTCTTCGCGGCTTGAGCCAACAGTGTTGCTACACATGTAAAAATAGTTATACGTACGTAGACCTTTTTACGTGGTAGAACCATGTTCCAGATGCAGGTTGGCTTGACCAGGAAAAGATCACGTTCTTACAGAATACCAGCGCAAAATAGCAGCTCAATGCTGGTGTGTTTCGTATTGTGAGTGTACAGATCCGTGAACCCTTTTTACTTCAAACGAGGCATTCCATCTCTAGTACTCAGGGGTGACAACACATCTGCATTTTGGTTCTTAATCGAGGATAGATGTAGATATCTAGTGTGTATGAGCCACAGCATCTTCTTATCATCAGGTGGTCGGTGTGTTCGTTTGTACTACAATTCTATGAAAAAAAAAATGGTTCAGCTTAGCAGTTCTAGTACATAGTTTAAATTGCAACGTAATTACAAATATTGCTTTATCAATATATTAGTTTCTATTTAAGAATCCGTCGCCAGGTTCTATGATCGTTAATGCGACTGTCAAGCGTGGCGATTACGAAAAATTTTCTCAGTAAGGGACTTGCATCTAGTAGACGATTGTTCTTGACGTCACTGCCTATTATTCTCCCCGGCTCGTGTCGTCGGGTGGCGGACCTCAAACCGGTTTTGCGAGCGCATCACGACCCCACCACCTTCATGGACACAACGCGGCACCACTACAACGTACGGATGTGACATTGAGGGAAAAAAATCGATTAATAAAAAAAAGATTTTTTGCTTTGTGATAATAATCGATTTAATAAAAATCGATTTTTTAAAAAAAAATAATCGATTTTTGCGAAAAAAGAAATATTTTATTCGAAAAATAATCTTCTGGTTTTAGAAATAAACTACAGAACAATTTTTTAACATATTATAACTTTGAACAATAAAAAACTAAAAATAATTACTGTCACAAATGTTCAGCGCCATTTAACAATTTATTACAACCAAAATAAACAGAAACGATAAATTAAACTAAGTTTTACGGATTTTATCGCATTTAATTTAACTTTTTAATTCCCGACATTTCAGGTGCTTTACAGCACGTATGGTCACAGAGGGAACTGAGGTGTTTGACGTCCCTATGTCATAGTTGAACCACAAATCCTCGCAAAAGAACACCGATTCCTACCAAGGATGATTCACGAGGCTATCGAAATTAAAAAACATCCTAATTTCAATAGAGAAGATGGATGGGTGCTGCCATCTGCTTGGCATCCTATAATTAATAAAATTAAATCCAAACCCAAGCATACCACTGTAAGACTTCAAGATACTGTAAGCTCATTCAGCGTAGATCGGACCAAAAATTAATATTCAAAAACTGAATTTAGCCAGGCTAACTATGATATCTGGACGTCAAAGACCTCAGTTCCCCCCGTGACCATGGGTGCTGTGAAGCACCCGAAAGGTCAGGAATTAAAAAGTTAAATTAAGCGTGATCAAATCCGTAAAAATTAATTTCATTTAATGTGTAGTCTTCGCGTAAATATTTGAAATGATTAAGAAACCATAATTTTAGTTAACGATAGTTTTTTTTAAATTAAGTTTCAACAAACAAAAAGTCTAAATATCATTATGCCACTAATGTTCAGTATCATTTACATTGGATGAGAATGAAACTAAAATAAAAATATAATTATAAATGATCCGACGACAACCTTTTGATCTCAAAACTAAAATACAAGACAAATATTTTTTTAAACTTGTGTAAAAAAAAATATTGCCATGAGTTTTCAGTTAAAGACTTTAAAAACAATCATTTCACCAAAATTCTTCTTCGTCTCTTTCCCGAAATACGGTTTCGTTTTTTTGACAATATTTCCCGCTTTCAAAAATAATCTTTCGGCTGGCGCGGAACTGGCCATCACTGAGAGGTGTTTAAAAGCCAATTCGGTTAGTTTAGGGAAAGTTCCTTCAGAGCTTCTCCATATATTGAGGGCATCTGCCTTGAGATTTGATAGTGGTGCCGCAATATATAGATCCAATTCAGTATTTTTGCCTATTGACGTGTTGGCCGCTATCATTTTTTCATTATAGAATACTTCTGTCAGTCACTTTTACGCGTTTCACAAGACATTTTTATTGTTTATATATAATTGTTTACACTAACCAAAGAAAGAAAGAAAACCACAGAATACTTTTACTCCTAGCGGAGGAAGAAACCTGTTGAAAACATATGAAAAGCGAAACTGTTTTACATACATTTACATTACGAACTTACTTCACGTTTTTATATCTATCGCACAGATTACTCTGATTACAAAAATCGATTGAAAAGCGTAATTTACATAAAAATCGATTTATTAAAAATCGATTTTTATTATAAAAAAAATCGACTTCGAAAAATCGATTATAAGAAAAAAATAATCGATTAATATGAAAATCGATTATTTTTTCACATCCCTACTACAACGCTTTCTTGCTTGGAACAACCAGGTCGCGAACGCACGCATTACGTCTACCTCTGTTATAGCAACCAATAAATTATATACATATTTAACTTCTTATTTTAGTCAAGAATTCCACCAGCACAAGTGGAGATTGACATTCAACAACAATTTAGTATTAAATTATTGTACATCATTAAAATATAGAGAACGTGAAATCAGCTTCACCGTACTCGTTTAATTAAATTTATTATGCACATTTGTCGCTGTTTAGTTGTGGCGTAAAAGAAAGCCACTTACCCCATATCATCTTGTGAGTGTAGTGAGAGTCGACAGGGGGAACTAAATCAGGCGTTGGGCAGTAGTGTCTTCCTGAAAACTACTCAAAATAAAAAATAAAAATATTGCATACACCTACTCGATTGCCAAGCCTGGTAACAATGGCTGGACTGATAGGCTGTAATGATGATGATGATGATGATGATGTATATTCCCTACATTCCTACTTCATGTTACGTTAGATTAAGAACGATTTGGATAAAAATAGATCGAGAAGATCTATCTTTTAGGCGTCAAATTCATGACTTTTTCTCTATAGATATCCGCTTATATCAACTGTCTATACTTATCTAATCTAGCTTTTTCGTAGAATATTTATTTTATTCTTGCTATTTACATGTTATTGCTGAGATACGCAATAGACAGCCGGGGATTTATTTTGAGTACAGAGCAAAATTGTTTATATTTTGTACCTACATGCGATTCAAAAGGGTACAGCAAATTTCCAATTCATTGACCCTACATTTATTGTGTTTATAAATCACTTAACGCCACGGTTATTTAATTTTATTCCTGCTACGCAACAAAGGGTATTCGACACTCAAGTGTTAATACCTCACAGTGCTCTGTATCACCAATTGCCAGAACCACGAGGACGCTTTTGCGTACTTCCAGTCTTAACAATAGCGCTAGCCCTAAATGGGCCCCTCTTAGTAGCGAAGGTGGTGGGTGGAAAACATCACCTCTACAATATAAACAAAACAAAAGATAAACACATGAGTAACGTATTAGGCCGCGTTCCGGCGACACGCACCCGCTACGCGCATGCCGCGCGCTCGCCTCGTTCCCGCTCCGCGCTGATCCCGCGCTCACACCGCAGACGCGCTTATACAATTTCAGATTTATTGATTTGTCATAAAACTCAAGTTATATGCAACAAATTTCAAAGCTAGTTAGACGCGGGTGCTGATACGCGTGGCGTACGTGTGGCGTGCGCGTAGCGGGTACGTGTCGTCGGAACGCGCCCTTACGGTCATTTACTGTATTACTGGCAATTGTTTTACTCCGACAACTAACTATATTTACACACGCATTGCTACGCTTTTGGTAATCTATACATATAAATAAAATTGAAGTGTCAGTCTGTAATATTGTAATAACTGCATTACATTGAGCTCGGGTGGTATTTGCATGTCATTACGACATAAGTTACTATTTTCAATTTTTTTGTGGCTGTCCGGATTAACCTTCTGAATGGCTGAACCGATTGTAATGAAACAGACGAACAGGTAGAGAGCAATGCCAAGAGTGGTCTAGGCTATATTTTGTTTAAAAATCTTAGAGTTTTTTTAAAAAAAAAAAAGAAGTAACAAAAAATTGATAGAATAAATGGTGTTTGAACTTTTTGCCTTAATACATTCTACTCAGTATTGTAAAATTGATACCATAACCTCAGGATATTTTTGCCACCATCACCTACAATATATTAAGTTGTCAATCATTAACCATATCTAAATTGACTAATTTTTTGCCATATAGTGGCGGTGTAAGAATATCCACTGCCTACTAAGAATATATCTCTCATTCATCATTTTGATAATTTGTCCACAGTACATTGTCGAGCGACACGGAAAGACCCTGCTACCGCAGTACCTCGGTATGTACCGGTTGACGGTAGACGGCATTGAGCACTACCTCGTCGCCACGAGGAATGTCTTCTCCAACCACCTCAATATACACAGGTACAGTATTAAAAATAATTGTCTAGATACAATAGTCAATTCCAAGCGTTACGAATATGACTACAACCATTAGTCTTGAGGTTTGTGTACGCGACGGATAAGACTTGTGAAGGTCTGTGAAGCTATATACATTTGATCGTCAGAATCAGAATTCAAATGACCCGTATAGCTGTATTATTTTATTATATTTTTTCGGGCAACTCCCGCTATTTATTCGAGCAAGTCCGTGTCCGTCAGTGTTCAGGGTAACATAATAGAAGTAATATCAATGGAGACAAGCCATCGGCACAGGACAGGATTGTAGTGTATGCGCATGCACAGCTGCAATCTCTATTCCCTCACTTTCATAGTCCGATGGGTCGGCAATCCAACACGACCGGAGAGATATCAGGCGCAGGACCAACGGCTTCACGTGCTTTCTGAGGAACGGGAGTGGAACACAGCCAACTTCCTAACTCCGGGATGCTACTGACAATTTATTCACAGAACCGAGAACTGATTTTTGATCCGACCCGAGATGCCTTGGACTAGTAAGCAGCAATTTTTGTACGCCGTGTGCGTTATGTCATACTTTCGATGTATTTTTTGTCCACTGACAAAAAAGTACGACGCAGACTGTTCATCGATTGTGGAGGCTCTAAACTGTATAATGTACTTTTAGTGAATACTTTATATTACTGTCCATATCGTCTCGTGGTTGTCGTAGGAGGCGACAGAGGGAAACAAACCAGGATGTGGGCAGCAGCGTCTTCCTAAAAACAACTACAAAAAAAACTGTTGATGCTAACTCGCCTGTCAATTGTGGCAACTATGGCAAACAGAGGCAGTCTATAGGGAAACCTATGTTCTGCAGTTGACTTCGATAGTCTGTAATGAATAAATAAATGAAAGGATAAAACTCTTAAAGTTTTACAAAAAACGTTACATAGTCCCAGTTGAAAGTTGTGTATAAATATAAAAGTTGTCTTTTGTTCTTGCTATTCAATTATGCTTACCTCAATTTTTGACTATAAAAAGATTATAAACTACTTTGAACATAAACAATGCATTGCCTAAAATTATTATGTTTTCTTTTTTATAGAATAAGGGTGACAAACGAGCACACAGTCCATCTGATGGTAAGTGGTTGCTGTGGCCCATAGATATCTACATCTATCTTTGTTTGCGAATTAAAATGCAGATGCGTTGTCAGCCGTGAGAACTAAGATGGAATGTCTCTCTTCCAGTAAAAAGGGTCTCCGGTTCTCTACACTCACCATACGAAACACAGCAGCATTAAGCCGCTATTTTACGCTGGTATTCCGTGTGAGCGTGGTCCTTCCCCGGTCGAGCCGACCCATTCGTGCTACTACTATACTATTAATGTAGCTGCAACATGGCTCTACTACATATAAAATTTGTAACGTGGTTATATGGTTCAACCAGTGCTCATTCTGTGTCAGCAACTAATATCTCGTATTAAGTTGGTTATAGTGTTTCCTTTTTTGCTTAAGTTATTATAGATGATTCTTACGTTGATATTTTTAATGCAAAAGTTTAACACACTTGTTTACAAACTTGTAATGACAAAATTTATATTAAACGTAAGAAAAGTTACGTTGTAAGCAAAATTCAGTCTCATGCTATTTTATGAATATATTATCTACTTTAGATTTCACTTTTTCTAGGAAGTACGATTTGAAGGGATCGACGGTGGACCGCGAGGCGTCCGAGAAAGAGCTGGAAAAGGAACTGCCCACTCTCAAGGATAACGATTTCATAAAGCAAGGCGTCAGGATTGACATCGGTGACGCCGCTAAAGAAAAGCTACTCGAGACTCTCACCGCTGACGTGGAGGTACGAGCTCACTGTTTATCGATTTGAAAACATTTATATTTTCTTTGACAAATGTCACTCTGTTTTTAAATCGATTTACCACCTTTTCAAAATCAATTTCCTTTATGGCAGAATAAAATTTTACTAGTATCTTCTTCCTACATGTAATTGATTTAATCACTCATCAATCAATAAAACAACAATTGGTTTAATGCTCCCTTGTGAGAGAAATCATAAAAATAAACAAGGAGATAATGCCTATGTTAGGCAGAAAAAGATCTTTATCATCTATTGTTACGGCCTACAGCTGCCCCTGCAAAGGTCTAATATCCCGGGGCCCATGAGCGGAAGATTCAACGGGCAGCCGCGGGTTCGAGCCCGAATGGCTATATGGAAGAATTTCCTATAATAGTAAGCTATATGGAAGAAGGCTAGGGAAAAATAGTACTTACCTATTTTCGACTCTTAGATCGCCCCAAGGCTCGGTCAGGCCGTAAGTGGGTGTGAGGTTTTTTTTTATATAAGATAAGGGTGTTACAAACGAGCACACAGTCCGCCTGATGGTAAGTGGTTGCTGTGGCCTATAGACATCTACATTTATCCTCGATTACGAATCAAAATGCAGATGCGTTGTCACCCGTGAGGACTAAGATGGAATGCCTCTTGTCCAGTAAAAAGGGTCTCCGGTTCTCTACACTCACCATACGAAACACAGCAGCATTAAGCTGCTATTTCACGGTGGTATTCTGTGAGAGCGTGGTCCTTCCCCGGTCGAGCCGACCCAATCGTGTTACAACTATACCGGAAATATAGCTGCAGCATGGCTCTACCACGTATAAGGTGGTGTGATGTGCATGGCAAGTAGTGCTTAGTGATGTGTAAATGTCTGAGACCTGGACCAGCTTAGGCGACCAGCAGCGGCCGAGTTCCAGGCTGCCCCACAATGCTGCATCGCTCCAGCAGGCTCCACCGCTGGACCATTTCTTTCTTCATTGTCACTATTTCAGTCTATTAGCTTCATTGTACATTGAACTAACTTAAACTCGCCTAATTTCACATTCATCGTAGAATCGAACACGTGATACCCGACACAGTAAGGACAGTAGTTCAAAATTCGACATTCAATGTCCCGGATTCACTTATCACAAAATTATAAATAGGGAACTAACGCGATCTCTTAATGAGTCACACGGTTCAGCGTTAAACACAACTAAGTTCCTTCATTCGACACCAAAACACCACGTCGCGAAAATAATTCAAAATACGCCTCGTTGACACGTAAACTAACAAACCAACCAACACACAAAAAAGGGCACTTAATGCGACGGCACAATTACAATGATTTCCAAACAATCAACCGAGAGACGCTCTCGACCAAGGAATGCGCGGTTCGAATCCTAGACCGTATATCTACTCGACGCGGGCGTGCACAATCCCGCATCACCCGAACAAGTTAAATGTTGTAAACTTCACATATCCACGTAGTGAAGTAACACGCCTAAATCTAACTATCTGGACCCTACACGGTCGCGTGAACTTCGGCCGCGATAATCGAGATACGCGGGTTCCCCGCATCGCGGCCAGCGAGCTACTCTCTCTCGCTTACGAGCGTCACACGCTGGGAAGCTGCCTACCGCTCCCCCTCCCCTCGATGCGCGTGACACCTGATGCCATCGTGCGACTCACGAAGTCGAACGTGATTGGATATCGTACAAATTACCTTTTTTGGCCTAAACATCTATAAATATAAGTAGCATATTTTTAATGTACATATATCAATGCTTTATACAGGGTTATTTTTCAAAGAGTAGTCAAATTGTAAATTTAATTCAAATATAAATAATGATATACCGTTATTGCAGTTTTTGAAAATACGAGTAAATAAGGCTTCTATTTTTATTTGAAATTATCCCAAATTGAATGTGATTTATGGGCAAAAACTACGCGTAGGCGCGCTCCTCTGTGTGCGATTCAATTCACAACGTTTTTGCCGACCGATCGACTCTTACGAATCTGTGCGAGCATAGTAAAATAGTAGGCGTTAGATATATATATGAATGACAATCAGTTAAAATAATGCATTAAAATAATGAGATATTTTTTTAAATTAAATTTTCTTCACCATTTGGCTGTATTACTTATTCTGAACCTTCTCTGTAAATTTGGCCGATTATTGCAAAATAACCCTGTATTACCATAAAAATTGATGTATTTTATATTTTAAACACTTAGTACACGTTATAATTAGTTTTTAATTTTATCCTTTTTTATTATGAAAACTTAGACTGTACGTAATAAGATTGATTATAAGTTCTTTTAGAAAAGATTGTATTGTAATTACTTGTTACTGGAAACGAGACCATCTTATCGATCCATCTTAGTCCTCAGGGGTGACAACGCTCGCGTAGTGTGAAATTTACAGTGAGCGCTGTCTGAGTTACCATGGCTCCAGGGTATAGTAAGGTACTCCATCTTAGTCCTCAGAGGTCACATTGCATCTGTATTATTCTTAGTTTAAAGTTGGCTACAGAAGCTACTTAGCACGAGATGGAATGTAAATTCGTTTATCACTTGTTTTATATTTAAAAAAAAAGATTATTTTAGTAAAAACTTTAGACAGAAGCCATCAACGTTCATTACCGCCTTATATTAATAGACGTTTCATTAACTGTTTAGTTCCTAACGAAACTCCATCTGATGGACTACTCGCTGCTGCTGGGCGTGCACGAGTGCGGGCGCGGCGAGGCCGAGGCGGAGGCGGCGCGCCAGCGCGAGGCCGAGGCCGACAGCGAGCCCGACTCCGACACCGACAGCGACACCGACAACCGCCACCACGCCGACAGGTAGCGCGCTCTCGCTCACACGCACGCGGACACTATGCCTATGCCAACATGTAACGTCCTCTCACTCCCACAACACACACCGACACAACCGTGTTTTCACGATGACGTAACGCGCTCTAGGGTCTCTCACATCGATATCACGCCTCTGCTTATAGCCCACAGCATCCACATACCATCAGGACTGTGTTCTCCTCGCTTTTCTTTCTTATTTAAACCAATTTTACAATGCTTGTATTTAAAATTTAACATGGGCCTAAAAATACAAAGAAAGACATTAAGTATATTTTTTCCACACGGGCACAGAATAGATAATAGTACTACGTAAAAAAGTTGCACTTCTCTGATGTTAACTGCTTGCCGATGTTTTAATAGCCTACATAATTATTATTAATCAGATAAATCGCGCACGCAAGCTAAATCTATATTTAATAATATAATAAAGCGGAAGAGTTTTTTTTTGTTTGTTTAAACGCGCTAATCTCTGGAACTACCAGTCCGATTTGAAAAATTCTTTTTGTATATTGTAGCCAGATTCATGTGGAATAATATAGGCTATCTAGCATTAAGCTATATTACTCAGCTAGCCTTAAATATAGATATTTGTTAAACAAGTCAGAAAAAAAAGCACTCCCGAAATGATTTATCCGCGTACGCTGGTGTTATCGTTAGGGATATGTAAATACAATGTTCTAGAAAAATATAGACCTTTACTCCGTCTAAAAAAAGTCCGCGATACCATATGTCTATTTCTTATACATAAGCCATAATTTGGTATTTTATGACAAAAAAATATTGAAAATTTAAAAGTGATTTATGAGCGTTATTATTAGGCATGGCCTATTTATCCTTACGAACGAAAGTTACTTCATCATCAAGACAATTTTATGAAGATAAACTTTGTTCTTTATACCATGTTATTTGGACGCATAGTTTAAGAGATAATGTAAAATTAACTAGTAAAACTTATATAACGGACTTTCCGTGTTTACTAAGGACTGTTAATAAAGAGTAAAAAAATACATTGCTGAATGGTAAGTTATAACTAAGGGTAAAGTACCTATTCTGACTATAATAGACCATATTTCCGATACTATGTGAGTTCTGTGATTCCCAACGCATGCAACTTGCAAGGCCATTCATCGGGACACGCGATGCTTGGTTCGTAAGAAATAGATAGATAGAGTAAACAACAAATGGACCCGAGATACGATTCCTAACAGATATGTGATGGTATTCTACTTAGTTAACAATCTTGTAAAAAAAGTTTTTATTTCAGTATTTTGTGTTGTTATAACTTAAAATATTTTAATTACAAAAGACAAGTATAGGTATGTAAGTAGGTACTTGGGTATTGAAGTAAATTTCAACTAAGTTTTGTAATAAAGTACTTAAGTATTACTTTTGTATTTAAATTATTACTTAATTCTTTTTTCGCTATAAGTACCTATATCTAACAAAAAAAAAAGAAATTCAACTTTCACTATCCTTCGGTACTTAACTTAAAAATAATATATCTGAATCCTTTTGTTTGCTCACTAAGCATCCATCCTCCTCCTCGCAACAATTATAGTAGGAACGATGTTTTTTGTCATTATAATTTATGAAATTAGTAGGTATACACATTATATATTATTCTTAACCTCTCAGTTGTTGTTGTTTTTATTATTCGCTCGAGAGAGCAGGCAAAGGAACTATACCAGACAGCCTTGTCTTTTTTGTTTTGAATATATAGAATTTCACTGCTTCACAATAAGTTGATGCGTCACATTGTGCAGCCCTTGGGAGATTTTAACGGCAACTTCTGCCAGCAGACAGCTGACAGTTGGCGATGGTATCTAAAGGCGCCCATGCAAACAAACAGCTTATCTTGAGAATCCATCACCATCAGAGCACCCGTTTCACCGTTTCCACTAATAGTTCACATGCGTAAACAGTTAATACATAAAATCGCACCACTTTTCCAAATCAAATTCCACTTCAAACTATTATTTAAACTATAATACAGGAGCAGCAAACTGCCGCCGGTCAAGTTCCTGCCAAAACAAAACCCTTAACCTCTCAGACCTTGACATTTTATTGGACATACTTAGCTATGGTCAAGCCAAAGAGTATACGTAGAGTATAAGAGTATAAGGTCAGGCCAAAGACAATTTTTTTATAAGATGGTAAATATAACTTATAGTCATTACTATGTTCTTATCCAAAATAAAAAATTATCAACAATTAAAATATCGAATTATTTGTATGAAGATCAAGTGAGCGCTAGAGTAACGACGATTGGAAGACGATTCGTTGATAAATGAAATGTTTCGAGAAATTATCAATTACTGTGTAGTGGCGGTGTATGAATATTCATATCATTCCGTTGGTTTCGTAAGAGGCCACTGATCCACTGTTCAGTTCCACGGTACACGTACCTTGTTACACAGTAACAAGGTACGTGTATTTGTTTCGTTCCTACGTTCAAGGGGGGTTTTCATATGATGTAACGGTGTTTGTTGTAATAATGAAAAGAAAAAAATGTGGGAGGAAGAAAAGGCGAACATTTTTTTCTAAATTTAATCTCGGTGGAGCGCGAATACTCCGTGCGATGTTTAGGGCAGCGTTGCAAAGGTGGGTAGTATTTGTGACAGTAAAATTCTGTGCTCCCCTTTATTTCCATGGCCCATGACCAGCAGTGGAAGGAAACTGTAAGGAGAGGGAGGGATTAATTTTATTATTTGAAAAAAAAAAGTAAAAAAGTCATCAAACATCATCAAACAATTTATTAAACAAAAGTTGCGTAAACAAGTTCAATGGTTAAAACAGTAATAAATAACAAAACCAAACAATTCTACTGAAAAGAAAAAATTTAAATATTATGTCACTTCTACAACTAAGCCAAATCTAACGAATCGCCATATGTTAAAATTCAATATCTATATGTTAAAATCAAATAAATACTATGAATAAAGAAACAAGGACATGGGAAACACTCGATTTTCATAAAGAAAAGAAGTATATAATATAATTATATCGATATACTCAGTAGGATCCTCAAAAAGAAATATTTAATGATAAGTATATACTTTATTACGCTATCTTTGACCAACGCCATTTTTCTACCGAGTTCAAACAGGAGGAACTTGACTGTATGTTTTTTTTTATGTGAGTTACCTTATAACCTCCTTCTGGGTGAACTGATTTCGATGATTCTTTTTTATTTTATAAGGAATTAACTTTTAAAAACAGTGTATTTACTTACCTTTTATATAAAAACTAACAAAAAACTTTCTATTGTACCCACTTAATTTTTTTTTAAATTTGTAGTTGCCTCTTACACTCACGCGGCGAAGGAAATAACACTAAAGTATGTGACGTAAACGCGACGCGTAGGTAACGACGGAAAATCGTCATTTGAAGTAAATTCTGTTAATTTAAAGAAGCATAATTTAGTAACTAAACTAATCTAATAAATTTTTAGTTTTATAATTCATATAAATAAAATTTAAAAAATAATTGTTCTGCGCATAACAACTATGGTTCTGACTAAAAGTAGTGATCATATACTCTTTGGTTCTGAGAGGTCCTTTCTAAATATAACCATACTCTTTGGAGCGTTCTACAAAGGTGACCTTGGATTACCACATGTGGATTTCAAAGACTTGACAGATTAAATTACATTAAAACTTTTTCAACTGTTTAATCCTACAATTAAATGTACTAAACGCTATACAAAAATTATTTAGACGAGTATTTCAAGAAGAAACTATTTACGTAAACAGTGTTAAGGGGCTACTCCATGCGAACGACCTTGAGCATTTGACCTAAGCGTAGCTGTAGCGAGCGGCTCGCCGGAAGAAATATGTAAGACGCCACCTATTGTACGAAAGTAGTATTATTTTTTCAACATCAATAAACTATTTTATGGAAATACACATAGCGTACAAAGATAAATGTATTTTAATTTTTTTATTCTGTATATATTAGTTGCATTATATTAGAATTATGTATTTTCATATATTATCTAATTATGAAATTTTATAATTAATTATATATTAAAACTGAAGCATTGAAAATTGTGAGTTTAAAAGATACCTATTCACTATAGGTAAATAAATAGATAGCTCGGCTTTTGTACAAATATTTGGTGCAATAAAAAATAAATAAATAAATAGGATGTTTCGCATATGTGTTTTTGATTATTGTTAATTTTTACGTGTCACGTATTGAAAAGTTACCTACTAATTTTTGAACTGAGCACCTTGTTACTTAGCCTGCTTATTACTTATGCTAGCAGATATTATCCTCACCCCAATGATTGATGAGGACGAAAATCAATTTTATTTCTACATACGTAATTATATTTATTTATACATAAGGATAACTTTAATAAAGGTAATACAAAAATCAACAAGAAGTATAAGGGTTCAATCTTTCAATTTCAGTTGTAAAAAAACGTTACCCCCACACTAGGATTTTCTGCTGTGTCGTGGAGGCAGTTTACAAACATAAATATTGCACAAAGACAAACATCCAGACCCGGAACAATTATTTGTAGGCCATACAAATTCTTGTTCCATGCGGGATTCGAACCCGCGGCCCCCAGCGCAACAACTGATTGCTAAGCCACTGCGCCACCATGAAGCTAATACAAAAACTAACTTTGTATTTGCTTCATGGTCGCCGGGTTATAGCTAAAGTGACCATACGTCCCGTTTTGAACGGGACTGTCCCTTTTCTCGGTCTCCTGTCCCATTGTCCCCAAACAAAGCTCCGGGACACAAAATTGCATATATTTTATGTCTACCTGGTACGAATGCTCCGGTAGAAAGAGTATTTTTTTTATTTTGCATAAATTGTGGACGTCTGAAAGAAACACTTACGGTTCCAGAGTTCTAAAGGCGATGTTGTTAACAAAGATAACAATAAAAAACTTGAGCAGAATTTTATTCTTATTTAAAATCATCACCAACTTTATTAAAGCAAATTTAATCCACTGACAAATGTAATTAATAATTAAAAAAAATATGTTGCATTTAATAATTACCGTCTATACCGAATATAATTTTATAGTGAACACTAATTGTATAAAGTTATAGTTTTTAGAGTATAAATAAACCCATGTCCTGTTATGAGTTAAAAAATAAATGGTCAGTTTAGTCTTTTTAGTTAAATTTAGTTTTAAAAATTTTTAGTTAATAGTAAAAAGTAGGTATATTAGTACCTACTTAGATACTTTTTACCGAATTATAAGTATAGAACACCTTATGTACTCAATTATTTTTTGAAAAAGAAGAAAAAACAAGCAATAAATAATATACTATATTTTAGCAATAAACTATAACTTAGTAATACAAATTATAACTTAGAACATAAATGAAAAACTCATAACTGACTTTTTGGCCCGACCCAGGATTCGAACCCGGGACCTCATGATCAGCAGTCGCACTACTACAACCACTAGACCAACGAGGCAGCACTATACCTGATAAGATATTGTGGTTGGGTGATAATATTGAATTAACCTTTTATAGTGTAAATTATAATATTTGTCGAAATTTTAATTATGGATTCGAACCTTACATGCTAATGGTGCTTCATTTTTTTATTTGCATTTACTTCAAAGAAAATACACGCAAAAAGCTTCATCGCGCAGTAAAAAGCACAACAAATATATGTATAACTAATACGAAAAATTATACCCAAAACAAACAAATAATACTACCTATAAATAACCTAATAAGTAATAATATTATCGACTCATATGACGTGGCGTATGCGTTGGTCGACGCTCTAACGACACGGGCTTCACGTCGAAGAGCTCAGCGCTCACTGACTTCAACAAGCCCGTGAGCAGTAAATATGCCCAGATTTTAAAATAATTTCTTAATAAAATCAAATATTGGTCTTTTGAAAAAAAATTTACTATAGAAATGTTCATTAATAAATTGCCTATCCATTGGTGTAAATCGCAAAATAAAATAATACTTACTTTACGAGGAGATGCATGTTATCAATAATAATTTCACATTTATGTGGTTTCGTTGTAAGGAGATTATATTAATATTTATTCCTTTAAAAAAAAATTGGATATAGCTTTTATGGAATCAAGATTATGTAGAAATATAATGTGTTTTTTATTTGTTGATATATCTTTTAAATAAAAAGTAGATAGCTTCTAAAAACCGCCCAAATAACGACTGGCGCGACATTTTGCTCAACCTGCGCCTTAAGAAACTTTAACATTCAATCGCCTATAATGCGCTAGCCCCGAATGCGTTCTATCCCGGGGGCGCCTCGCGATTTTCACGTGACAGAGGCCTGACACGAGGTTCTACTTGCTAAATAAGTTTTACCTGCACATAATATAGTAGATACTTATCAATTATTATTTCTTTATAAACATATCATTTTCTGATATGATCTGTAATCGTTTCTTTTTTTTATGTATACCACAGTTTTTTATGTATGAATGTTTTTTAACGTTAAAAATGAACATTAAGCACCTTACGACTACGGCTAGATAAGGTATATGTTGATTACATGCCTTTACTTAGAATTTTTTTTATAGGATAGGGTGACAAACGAGCACAAAGTTCATCTGATGGTAAGTGGTTGCTGTGACCCATATACATCTACATCTATCCTCAATAAAGAATCGAAATGCAGATGAGATCACCCATGAGGACTAAGATAGAATGAATCTTTTCCAGTAAAAAGGGTCACCGGTTCTCTACACTCACCATATGAAACAAGGCAGTTTTAAGATGCTATTTTCCGCTGGTATTCTGAGAGAGCGTGGTTCTTCCCCGGTCGAGCCGCCCCATTCGTGCTACAACTATACTACTAATATAGCTGCAGCATTGCTCTGCCACGTATAATATTAAATAAAAATTAAAAACCAGTCCTGCGCTCATCGGACAGTAGTGTAAAATCTAATAATTGGACGTGGTTATGTAAAAAGGATCCAACCCGAGTTTGTGTCAAAAATGTTGATTTGAAAAATAATGTTTGTGGTCTATTATGTGATGTAACAATTTTAGCAAACGTAACACAAATAAGAAGAAAAATTACAAACAGACAGAAACCATACCGATAATTTGAGTTTATGATATTTGAAGTATGGATACTTCAAATATCATAAACTCAAATTAACGTATCGCGGGTTGGATCCTTTTTGCATAACTACGTCTAATTGTCTGTTGTTTTTTTTTTTTGAGCGGTATATATTTTCACCAGGTGGGGCTACAACACGCCACCCGACAGTCCGCGCGGCTTCAATCGCCAGTCTTCGCTCCGCTACGAGGGCATTATACCGGAACTCGATATATACGCGATTCCCAGCCAGGAGGGTGTGTTATATATTATGTATAGATAATTATCACGACTAACCACAATGACACTGCTTACCGACTTGTGGTATTTTCAGCCAGTTAACTCAATTTATAACATTACCATATCGCCTATCAAAACTCCACTGTTAAACATAGGTCTCCCCCATGGATGGCCTTATAATGGGAATATTTTTCATAGTTGCCATGCTTGGTCCGCGGGTTGGCAACCACAGTTTTAAATTTATTTATGTACACACAACAAGATACAGAAACAGTCTTATAGTGAGTTTGTACAAAGGTTCTACTTATTCCATAATTTGCTGAAATATCTTCCAGTAGACCCACAGAGGAAAATATATTAAAAAGGTAAACTTAGTGCGTACAATACTAATACTACTGTAAATAATATACAAAATGTTGTTTTTTATTCAGCTGTTATCAGGAAAATGCTGCTGCCAATCGTGTTCAATTTCCTTCTGTCGCCTTTTACGACAACCACCGAATGATATTCTTACACTGTAATTGCAAGGTTATTATTATATATATATATATATATATATATATATATATATATATATATATATATATATAATAATAACTGCTAATTAATCCAATTATATTTTAGTTTAGATAGTTTAGTTAGTTTTAGATAGTTTTTGATAGTATATATTATCAAATATTGATATTTGATAGTTTTGTTGCTTTTGATAACTATTAGGTATCAAAACTGTCAATGTTTAATGTACACTAAGGCTGATATAATGTACACAAGGTTTTTTTTTGTTATTACGAAGACGCTACTGCCCTTCTTCTGGTTTGTTTTCCTCTGTCGCCTCTGACGACATTTCCTTGACAATATGCGGTAGGGGATATTCTTAGTACGCCAAGACACGGTCGAAAACAAAGTTTTTATGTTTTTTAACACTTGTATCCTAGGGAAGCGTTTACATACATACTGACGTGGAACAATTATTTGTAACTTGTTCCGTGCCGGTCTAATTCGAGGCCCGCAGCGCCGCACACTTTTTTTTTTATAAAATTGAAATGACAAATAACTTACCTGATGGTAAGTGGCTAAAGCAGTCCATAAACTCTTTCAACAGATCTCAGACAAAGAAGAATACAGCTGTGTTGTCACCTCTGAGGACTAAGATAGAATGAAGATAGAATGTCTGTAATTATACTGGCTCTCTGTACTCTTAGATCGATTTACACCCAGTGTAAGCACTGCTTTCTGACTGCAGAAATAGTTAATGGATAACTTACCTTGACAAATTCCTAGGCTGAAAGGAAGTCCTGCCGCCTAATGAATTTGGTGTAATTCCATCTGCAATATTAATATAAAATTGAAATAAAATGTAAAATTGTGATTTCTGTTATATTAGGTGCACCTAAAAAGGAGATATATTTCGTCGCTCTAATCGATGTCCTGACGCACTACGGTGTTAAGAAACAGGTACTTATTTGTATAACTGTCCATACTACATTATTTTTATTGTTGTCGTTTGTTTAATGGCTTTAAACTGCATAATGTCATAATATTTTCTTTCTTTATATATAATATAATTCTTCTGTACGTGTGTTTGTTACTAAACTCCTCCTACGGCTGGACCGATTTGATGAATTTTTTTGTATGTATATGAGTGGGTCCCTGGATGGGTTACATTCACAATTGTACCCGGTAGGTGGCATTGTTGTCGAGATCCAGAATTCACCCGTGCGAAGCCCGGGCGGATCGCTAGTATCAACATATTATAATATACATTATAGCTGCAGAGTGGAATACATTTAACTCTAAAAATTAAAAAAAAAACTCTAAAAATGTTCTGTGTGTGAGTCACTTCCTTTTCATTGTATCCCGTCAAGTCTACTGTTGAACATACAGGCTTCCCCCATCGAGTGGCTCAAAAGGGGATTTACCATAGTTCCCACGCTGGGCAGGAGGATTTGCGATTGCAGTTATCGACAGGAAGATGCTGTTGTCTATCTCCTAATTCGGTCTCCCTCTGTCGCATGTTTCGAGCCTTACGGGATAATATGTGGTGGTGGATTTCCTTATGCCGCCACTACATGCCTATACAATTTCTTTATTTATCAGATTCGCTGTTGTAAAGTGGCTTAATAAATTAAAAATGATATTATTTTCTTTTTAGGCGGCAAAAGCAGCGAAAACAGTGAAGTACGGAAGCAACGTTGACGGGATATCGACCTGCGACCCCGAGCAGTACGGCAAACGATTCATAGAGTTCGTTGCTAAAGCGATCGAAGGCAATTAGACGCAAATTAAAATAGCCATGCTTCTTTTAGTTACGTACGTGTTATTGTATCATTTCATTTATGTTGTTTTTATTGTGATCATACTTTATGACTCTATTGAGGGGTGGGGAGAGGGTCAGTTCTAGGTTAGTGCGTTGATTTACTTAGGGAAGTGTACATGCATTGTTTCGAATGTAAAGTAAGATCCAGCGTTGCTACTACTGATGATTGACTTTCACAATGCAGTCTGTTATGTTTAGAATGTTTATTTACTAATTATGTATTGTATGATCTAATTATTTGTTTTGATATAATTGGATGTAGGTACACGCAAAACTAAATGCGAAGCACTTGAAAATTTGAAGAAGTTTTTGGATATTGGATTATTTTCATACTAAATGTCTTAGTTTCAAGTGAGAAATACGTAGTTCTTTCTCACTGTTCAAAAATGGTATAAGAAAATGTATTTAACAAGTACAGCTACAGAAAATCTCCAAAGATCAATTTATCAAATTATATGTAGTATTATTTAATACCTTGGAAGGTTGGTAGCATTGTTGAGACAGTTATCATGAAGACAGAAATGGAGTTAACAGGGTGTTGTTCGACATAAACAGTTTAGTTTTACAAACGCACGTCGACTAAAAGAAGCATCGCTAATCTTGGCATAGACAATTTGAGCGGTAACGCTATGATAATAAGGTTGATTATTGTTGTATACACAACCTGTCCGTGAACGGGCTTTGTCGTAATCTCGACACTTGTGGGTGATTCGGTGAATTGCATCGAAAAATAATTCGAAATGTAAGATGCTACGATTTACTTTATCTGTATTTTATTTCATATGTATCTAAACCGATAATGATCGAAAAAATTTAAATTTTTATCGCGAATCGACGAGGGTGGTGATTAGTAGTGGGTTTTGTGATTAATATGGCCAGAATAGCTAAAGGCGTGATTTTACTATTTTTGACTGTCTTATCTCTTTCTATTAGTCTAAAGAAAAGGTCGCATGCATATAAAAAATATTGCATTCGTGTTTGGGGTGCATAAAGTGTATTTGTCACAATTATAGTAGTCCTGCGCCTGAACTCTCTCGGGTCGTGTCGGATTGCCGACCAATCGGACTATGATAGTGAGATATTAGAGTGCACCTGTGCTTGCGGCACGGTCGTTACACTGTAATCCTGTCCTGAACAAGATGGCTTGTCTCCGTTCAGACTGGCAGTCTCGACCAAAATTTGGTCTGGAGGACATATTCATACAATTTTATAAATCATATTTGCGACTTATTGTATTGCACATTAAATATTCTGCTTTAACATGGGTTAGAGCTATGAATTTAAACCAAGTTTCTTGAACAAGATGGCGGCTTTATAATGTTGCATATTATCTGGCATTAAAGTAATATTTAAATAGCAACCAGATAACTTTTAACTAAACTATATAATGTTACGCAGGGCCGGACCCTGTAATTAAATGAAACTTTACAAAATATATAGGGCAATAACTTACCGTCTTTCAAACAAAAACAAAACACAACACTACTACTGAAGAAAATTTGCGAATCGTGTTTATTGATACAAGCTCTTTCGTATAATATGGTCGTCGCAGTTTAGAATGGACTGCCGGCCCCATACTCTTTGGTCGCGTTCAAATTAAAAATATTTATATTCAAAATTAATCTTTACTTTTGATTTTTTTGACTTTTTGAGTGTTAAGAAAGCTACGCCATCGCTTCAACAAGACCCAACTGCGAGAGACCTTGGAAAAAGGAGAGTCATTTATCTAAAATAAGATTTTTTATGCCATTATTCAGCAATTAGACGGTGTTCTCAAATATCTTAAGTTGAAAACGTTGCCTATGCAATGCTCGTATCGGGATCCAACTCTCACGAACTGATATTAAATCAATAAGTGCACATTCGCAATAATATTCATAACTCGTTATTAGCTTTTATAATGTTCCGCTATCGGGTAGATTAGTATCGAAAAATATTAAAAATATATAATATAATAATAGTGATAATTGTTATAAATGTCATTGAAATTGAAATTTTCTAGTGTTAAAAATTGGCTAAATATTTACCTCAGTAAAAAAAAATCGATATAAAGTTTTATAGACGATTTACGGCTGTTTTATTCTAAGATTACTCGTCTATATATTGTGTATTCCATAAAATTTTGTACTTTATCAATCGCAGAGTTTTGCTTATATTGTAATTTTAACATCACTTTGCCAATATAACTGAATAGTTCGCTTAGTTTGAGTCTAGCATAGCGTTTAAAGTTATTACTACGTAAGATTTTGTTATTTATTCTAATACGAATTAAGACTTGGAATATTGTAAGGGGGAGATTTTTGTTGATTATCAGTTTTCCTCCGTTACAACTTTCATTCTATGTTATTCAGTTTGTGATTTATATTTGAAGAAAATTTGTATTATTCGGATGTCTCGAACTACTTGGTTTTTATGACAATAGGCATATTGTAAATGAAGATAAAACTATAGATGGATTGATTGTATTTTTTAAATTTCATTCCGATTTATTTATTCCCTAAATTCAATTTTTACAGTATTCTAAAAGGGTTTTTAAAATAGTTAAACTTTATCAGTCTAATTGAAAAATATATTTTCTTGGATATTTGTGAACCTTATTGTATTTTAAAGAATAGCTTTTGTGATAGATTTTTAAGTGGTGTTTGTATTACTTTACAATAATTGTAATTCAGATATCTACACGCATGGGGGTATCTTACAATTTTTATTCTAAGATGGGCCCAAAGGGGCACAGATTATCATATTAAAACAATTCCTCACGTGGAGTTGGCGACATACAGTTTCCAACAAGCACTATTGATTTTCTAGGGAAAGCCATCAGTTTTCTTGTTTCTTCCTAGCTACGTTAATGTCTACACATTTCCATTAAATTAATGATAATTTGAAGGCTCATTCAATGGAGTGAACGCTGTTTGACATAATAAATTTTCTGGAAACACAGTATTGATACATTGCAACAGAACTACTTTAAGTACCTACTCATATCAAATATATTCAATCTTGTAAGGCTTTCCATTTATTATTAGTTATTACGTAACTTTGGCATTCAAATAATGGAAATATTCAATAGTAAATACTAAAGCTGTGTTAATACACTTTTACTACAAAACACCTGTGTGGATGAGCCTTAATAATCAAATGTCACTTCGAGTGTAATTTCCCGCCACTTTACTGGATAGTTCGATGCTCTAAATAGACTAAAGACGATATTGCACGGTTCGTTTTGGCTTTAATTTTCAATGATTCATTTAAAGTAAAAACCGTCGTTTATTCGTCCATCGGCATTGAGCCTTCCCAATAAAAGTTGTTTATATCCGATAACTTACATCTGCGTCATTCAGTATTGAACTAAATATGAATAAATTCGAAAAATGAACACTAACTTGTTTAACAAAACAGGCTTTCTGAACACTACAAATGGCGTCCCGCTAATTATAACAGAACAAATGATAATATGGTCGTCGAGTCGGTTCGCTCGCCGGTCTCGCGCTTGACAACAGCTGGGACCCTCGTACAAATCGCGGTACGTAAGTCTAGCGCTGAACGAAACGTGGAGGATCGCGCACGAATTGAATTGCACACAATTATCAACTCTCACCGAACAAAAGGATGAATGAACGATGAAATGAAACATATATAATATTATCACAAGGAACCTTCCATCGTTCCACACGAATGAAAATTCGCTAGAAATGATTCACTGAGAATGAACTGTCCAATATCACCTTTACCAACATAAGATTCCTGAACAATGTGTTAGTCATGAAATGATTAAAATATGTCATATGTGTTGCCATTGTTTAGGTCGATAGTTGTATTTTAATTAGTAGTTGTATTACTGATAAGTTTTTATTATTATTATTATTTGTTAACGGTGACGGAAGTCGCTAGCCGTATATTTATTATTGTAAACGATATTGGTGGCTTCGTTATAAACAATCGGCATTCTAGCGACACGATTGAAATTGAAATGTTATTTCTCTAGTCTCCTACTCTTGTAAAGACAAAATGTCTATGGAAAAAAAATTAAAACATTTACTTTTGTAATATTCGGTTTATAAAGTTTCTGAAGCACAAGTGTTTTTATTTTTAGTTTCTTTATACCTTTACCCTTGTATTATTAGTCTTGTTTATGGTTTTGAATTGAATTTAAACCCAACATCAGAATTTTGAGAACATGTTGTGTGATCCACTAACATGATTTTAGGAATTAGGAGGACCATGTATCTGTGGAAAATCATGTGAGGAAAAGAATAACACAGAAGTCATCCACTTGGGATTAATTTTTTATTGTTTCTGTTTCTATTGTACGTATCAATTTGTCAAGCTGCTAAAAATAGGTATTTAAACTTCATTAGGACATTTAACATAAAAACAAAACGCGAGGCGCATCATAGTCTTTCACCAAAACTATTCGAAGATTATATGTGAGCGGTAACAGGGACTTTATCCCAATTCTAATGTAAGAAATTATTCTCAAAAGTATTTAAATAAAAGAACACTACTCGGTAACAAACCCTGCTTACTATCTATATATACTCTTACTACTGTATTATATTTCTGTATTTTATTAATTTACTAACCCTTAGCTCTAAGTGTACTAACAAAATGGGTGTATTTACCTGAATAATGAATAAATTATTATTATTATTGGGGTTATCTATAAAGTTTTCTCATCTGGTTGGGCTGTTTAAATATATAATTGTAAACGAAATATATAAACATAGATAAATATCAATAAAATAGAATAAATACATAAATATATAAAAAACTCAACCAGATGGAAGCCCTCGGCAGGGGAGACCAAACGGCCGAGGGTTAGGGGGTAAGGAAAAGAAACCGGCGGACGATGCGGGCGGTATCGAGGAGCACCGCCTTCTGCATTTGAGCTTGGAGCGGTCCGTCACGGAGTCCCAGTCGCCTCAGATGACCCGAGAGGCTAACTGGGATTAACCCGTTCGCAGAAACGACCATAGGAATAATTTCGGCCGGCAGACCACCCCACATGTTGGTCACCTCGTGAGCCAGGTCCAGATATTTTGTCAGCTTATCTGTTTCGGCTTTCACGAGGTTCTCGTCATAAGGAATGGTAATGTCGACCAAAAATATCCTTGACTGTGCCCGGTCCATCAGCACAATATCAGGCTTATCCGCAAGAATAGTCCTGTCTGTGATGATGGCCCGGTCCCAGTAGAGCCTGGCGCGGTCATTTTCGAGTACGGCTTCCGGCAAGTAATTATAATATGGCAATTTCCGATACACGAGACCGTATAGCGAGCTCCTGTTGTGGAATCCTGGCTACTAGGTTATGTCTGTGCAAATACTCAGAGTTAGAAAGCGCCGAATAACCGGAGATGACATGCCTAAGTGATTCACCGGGATGGCGACAAGCTAGACAGATGTCGACGGTGCCATCCTTTAGGATGTATCTCCGATAATTGTTGGTCTTAATAACCTGATCCTGTATTGCACAGACGAAACCCTCAGTTTCCCCAAAGAGGTCACTGAAACGTAGCCAGTGGAGGGAGGCGACTGTGTCTACGAAAGGCTCATGAAGGGCCTTGTAGAACCTCCAGTGGAGCTCATTCTCCTTCCATACGGTCTCCCGGTCGGAAATGCTCTGTATTGCCGGGTCTTGCCATTGCTCGTTGGCTAAGGATAGAGGGGTTAGCCCTTTATCACAAGAAATAACGTCCCTATAGTATGGATCATCCGCTTTCGTCAGAAAGTAATTACGGAGGCTGCACACTTCGCGATTATGCATGGTAAGCGCGCTTAAAAAGCCGCGCCCACCATGATTCCGCGGCAAGTACAACCTCATTACTGACGATCTCGGATGACGCATCCTGTGGGACGTCATTATAGTGCGGGCTTTTCTGTCCAAAGCGTTCAGTTCGATCTGAGTCCACCTGAGCATGCCAAAGGTATACATGAGAACAGGCATGATCCAACCGTTATATGCGTGCGTCTTGTTCACACCGGACAAAAGGCTATTAAGCATTTTGGTCAAGCGTGCATAAAACACATCGCAAACTGACCGTTTCATACCCGCCTCATTTACACCGATGTTCTGTGACATACCCAGGTATCAGTATGTTTCAGCCTCGGAAAGGGTCCTTATGCTGATGGGCATAGATAAGTCTGTGCCCTCAGAGTTAGCAACACTTCCCCTTTCGACATGGAGGATCACACACTTATCCGTCCCCAGCTCCATGTTAATAGAATTGCTAAAATCACAAGTGATGTTTAGCAATTCCATAAGATGAGAGCGACTGGAGGCGAATAATTTGATATCATCCATATAGAAAAGGTGGGTCACTTTTGTACCTCCTCTCCGAAGCTGAAATCCCCTCCCGGAACCCTCCAGTAAGGTACTGAGAGGGTTCAGAGAGAGGCAGAACCAGATTGGACTCAAACAATTGCCCTGGAAGATACCCCTTCTTATCCTTATGTGGTTCTCCGCAGCCGTCATTGTTATTATTATTATTAAAACTAAGAGATTATGCATAATTATTCTAATATCGCATTTACATATGTTTGCTATTGATTCGGCTCGCCATTCGACATATTGTGTGGCTTTAGGCACATAAAAAAAAATAGTACTACGTACTTTAGGCTACACGAGTGACCGTTTACACATTCGCGTCTATTCATTTCTACTTGACGAAATGGACGACGTACCACGAAAAGTAACCATCAAAGAATCGAATGGCACAATTTCTCGGGAAGCCCATAGGAAGGGAGCTTCGAAAGTAGCGCTTTGTGCCAAACCCGATCAAAGGCCTTCGCAATGTCCAAATTAACGGCCAACGTCTCCCCCTTGGACTCTACTGCCTCCGCCCATCTATGGGTCAGGTAGACTAGAAGATCACCAGCTGAACGACCCCGACGAAAACCGTATTGGCGGTCACTAATCAGCTGGTGATCCTCAAGGTACCGCATGAGCTGGCAGTTAATAATGGATTCCATTATTTTGGAGAACAAGGGGGATGGCGATAGGCCTATAATTGGATGGGTCTGAGCGGTCGCCTTTTTTAGGGATCGGGTGGACAAAAGCTGTCTTCCGTGAATTCGGGACTACGCCTTGGGAGTAGGAGTACCGGAAAAGACGCGTTAGGAACGGTGCCAACTCCGGAGCACACGTCCTCAGCACAATTGGGGGGATTCCGTCAGTAAATGCGGCTTTACGTAAAATTATAGATCTTTAATTTTACTTTTAACATTTTACCATGTGGCACATAGTTTTCGAGAAATGTAGATGTAGAGGTGTCTTTTAAATTGTACCGCAGAGGAAGTCCGCGAATAAAATAGGCATAGATGATTAAGCACGGCGAGTGAGCATAATCGCAGTGTCAATGAGTTTTTTGACTAAAAACAATAGATTGTCTCGATTGTTTTGTACGAGAGTGAGTCAATTTAGGATTCGACTGAAAAAAAAAACAATTGCTTTATTTTCGATTGTCGTTATTCGACATCTCAGAATTACTTATCAATTTCGACTAACGACTTGAATTTTCTTAATCGTACCTATGATATTTGTACCGTTATATTAACTGCCCCTTGGGGCGCTTTTCATATTTCCATACAATTTTAGTCGGTAATAGTATTAATAACTTGCTCTATGGGCGTCGTTAATATTCTAGTATTCACATTGTATATGAACAATGAAAAGATAATAAAATTTAAATACATTTATTAAAAAATTTAAGAGATGTACAAGTTAATAACTAATCCATTCTCGTCTTTACATGTTTTTCAGTGATTTTATCCTTCTCGATGATGTATACGATTGCACCCCAACCGGAGATGGCGTCACGATCCGCCGCGTTAACTAAAGCCTGTGGAACAGAAATTAATTCATAAATCAGCGAATATGTAATGGACCATAATATGACTAATCATCGGGGCAAATGAATAATGACAAATAAAATCGGGCTACATAATAATGAAGTTTAAATCATTAATACTGATTTAAACTTCATTATTTATCAATCGTCTGATCATAATCTAATCTAAAAGATTGTTTTATAACTCTGCCATATAACAGACTATTCATAAAGCCTGGTCCATTTAATTATTTCAATAGTTTTTATCCTATATTTTTATATTATTCCCTATTGATATTGGATATTTTTCAAACTATCTGCACATCTATACAAATAAATAAAACTGAAGTGTCTGTTTGTAATGTGTAACTGCTTTTTACTATAGGCACATGAAAGTATATACGATACTTATAACAAAAACACGATTTTTAAAATTTTTATCTGTCTGTCTATTTGTTCCGGCTAATCTTCTCTCTCTTTGAAACGGCTGGACCGATTTTGACCAGACTTTCACTGGCACATAGCTGAAATTATAAGAAGTAACTATCAGGCTACTTTTATATTAGAAAAAGAATTAGGGTTCTGCGCAAAAAAATAAAATCCAATCGTAATAAATTACACGCGGGCAAAATCGCGGGGAACAGCTAGGTATAAATAATGCCCAATTAATCACTTGATTTCTAAATTGCTGTAATGTAAAATATTACAGTAATATCCTATATTAACTGTACAATAGGGCATAGGCCTTATTTCTGATGCCAGCCAGCATCATAGTTTGTTAATTGCAATTATTTTAAGTTCTAATTTAATGGTGCTAGGAAAACATTTTGTAGAATTAAGTTACAACATTTAACACACCTGTGAGATTGTTTCAAATAGTTCATCCGGCTTGAGGTTGGGCTCCCACAGTGCTTCACACATACCATACAACTGTTCGGAACAAGTTCCTGACACCACAAAATCTTCAGGTTCATTTGGACAACCAATCTGTAAAACAAAAATTATTATTTTAATACATAGAAAACACAATTTAGAAACATTGAAATTTACTTTTTAATTTTGTGGTGTTAAGTCAACAATTATTTACATGTTAATCCTTTTCAGGAATTTGATATACGATAGATAGATGACAAAGTCCCTTTTACATCTTTGGAAATTCATGTCCAATGACATCAGGAAAGCACCTAATAGTATGCTTGTAAAAAGCTTGTTTGTGAACACCTATTGAAGGCAACGCTTGTGCTACAAAACTGAATGCTTAAGACTGGGTAATGGATATTTCTGTGCCAACTTATTTCAATATCAAGTATTTAATCAGTTGATAAGTAAATGTTGCAAAAGAGCCAGTAAATACATTAGTATTGGATATAGGTTTCAATGTAAGATTTGCTCATTATATACAGAAATAAAAATTAATAGAATATACACTCACCAAATCCATATTACAGACATAGGGCTGGTTATCATATGGGTCCAAGCCTGCGATAACAGGCTCAATGAAGTATGGTCCAAATCGCTTTTCATATAACAAGTTAGAAAGCATTGCAGAGAAAGTCTTTGGCCTCATTATTCTATTCTCTTTTAATTCGTACAAATTCATTCTGAAACAACAATGTTAGAACTCAATTCAAAGACTAAAGGAAATTAACTATACCCTAAAAAGTATAACAGTAGTCAATATAGAATTTTTAAATAATTATTGAAAATTTATATTCTGTTACCAGCATTACCTGAATTTCAGCCTTTGGAACACTGTCTGTGTATCAGTAGCAAGACCAGGAAGGCCAACAAACAGGGTTGGGCCCATTTGATAGACTTTCGGAAAGTTGGTAGAGACAGTCTGAGCTTGTATACCATATCGTTTATCAGTAGCTATAGCAACACAATCTTGACCTTTCATGGCAACTACTGCACCTCCATTGTAGGCTAAAATTGACTGTAAATATAAAAATACTATTAATTGTCTTCATAGAAATATCTCCCCATGTAATTTGTTATTTCATTAATGCAATCTAAAGGGTTGTATTACATTAGTGTAAAGTAAATTTTGTATTTCTGGGAGATTTTTTATTTATTTTTGTAGTGTATTAACAATAACATCATTTTCAGAGATGGATATGAATTAAATATTCCAAAATGAGTTGCAAATAATAGACATAATGACAGTTATAGAATGCACTAATACTTGGAATGGAACATATTATGAGTATCTCTATGTAGTCTGTGGTATTATGAAATGAGAGCTTTCAAAGCGTGAGCAAAAGTCAAAGCATCTATGTCTTAGATACATAACAGTGAATAAATTAGAAAAGCTGATTCATTTTTGTTGTTTTAGCCATTGACTTAAATAGTTAAGTATATATTACTTATATAGTTAAGTATATATTAATGGTTTTAGCTGAGATTGTAGTCATGGCTCCAGACTTATTACGTCATAAGCTCAAAAGTGACGAAATACATAAGTGTAACGTTCTATGATCCTCGGCTTTTAAATTATATATTTTCAATTTAGGATTGAGATTGTGCACAGCGAAACGGATTAATCCATACACTAATCATGTTTGCAATATTTTATAACCAGGTCACAGCATGTATGGGCCGCAATGTTCTTTCGTCCCTTACTGCTCATAGATAATATGCATAATCAATCATCATATTTTGAAGATATGTGAATTCCATCAACACGCATTAGGGCAGAGCGGTGTACACTTATTTGCCCTAAAACTCTTTCAGAAGTGAGAGGAGGCCAGTGCCCAGCAGTGGCACATATATAGGCTGTAACTTTATTATATACTTAGATATTACAATATATCTATAAATCTAAGCAAACCAATTTATCAAAAATTGGATATCACTTGTAGTAGAGAGTACTGACTTTCTTACAGAGTTACAGAATCAAGTAATTATCAACACTGATACATTGGTTATATACCATATAGATTTAATAACAAATATTCAAATCCAATATATGATTTCATATCTTAGGGTAAAAATTGTACTACTCATCCATATCTTTAAGAGACTTCAGGAAAATAACAAGTAATCCAAAAACCTACATTCAATTTTCTTTAAAATTATACGTTATAATAAGGCTTCTGTACACGAAAAATGCATTTATCATTCAAATGGGAATAACATTGTTTTTGTGGGTTGGATACTTTCAGCACAACTCGGTCCAATTTATGTTCGTATTTAGTTGTTATCACAAATACACTACATATTGATAAATATATTATTAAATAAATACATTTTTTTTTCTCAAATATGGTTACTACGCGCAATGGAATCGAAGAATAACCGGCATTGTACAATATATTTTAAAGCTATACAAAATGCAATTATACTTACCATTTTAGCTTAATTTCTCGATTTACTGGCGTGGAATCTGTTAATTTTATTTGTTTCTTTTAAAGGGAAACTTAAAATATCAACAATTAGACCAAATATCCAAACATGAGAATTAAAAACGAAAAATGACATATCATCGGTCATTAGCACAGACTATTTTTTATTTTTTTATAACTGGCTTCACGGCTCTGGGTTCTAGCCTTTCTAGCCTGAAGTTACAATGTATAATATTATCCTTCATAGTACACTCTTTCACAATACGTTGATGCGTCACATTGTGCAGCCCTTGGGAGATTTCGGATGGCAACTTGAGCCAGCAGATAGTTGGCCAGTTGGTTGGTATATCAAGGCGCCTAAGCAGACAGACACCTTATGTTGAGATTCACTTGCGAAAACTTTTAATACACAAAATCGCACCACTTTTACGTATCAAAATCCATTTCATACCATTATTTAATCAATAATACAGGAGCAGCAATCCGCCGCCGGTCAAGTTCCTGCCAAAACTACTAATTTACTTCCAAACCATATTCAAAACTTGACATTTAATCAGTTTAAAAAAGTTATTTTCGGGACTCTCATTGAAAACTGTTTTTATGACGTAAATGAATTTATTAAATTCTGCCGTGACGGTCACCTCCAAAGAGAATATAATCACTACGTTTGTCACCTCAAGCGAATTGTTGTTATTTGAAATTTTAAATTGACAAATTAATTAGAATTTGTAAGATTGACATTATACTAGTTTGACATTATGCATTATGACATGACCATGCCTGTATATTTTTTATTATTTTTTTTCTCTTTTTACATAATAAATTTATTGACATTATATTGCTTTATTAAATTTTGATATGAAACGTTATTGTAATTTTGTAATTTTAATTATTCAATTATTGCATGTCGACTTAATATTTGCACACTGATAAATCGGTAAAACATGCATGTTCACACTATATTATAAGACCTAAAAATGTACCATGTTTTATGCAAATAAATATTTTATTATTATGATAGGGAAAACATTTCTGTTTCTTAGCTCTTTGGCTAGTTTTTACTGCACATACGGGCCGAAGCCAAGTAAATGCAGCATGGAGTGAGTATTTGTGTAGGTTATGTGTTCTGGGTAACTATTTCATTTTCTTCCAATTGCATGAATTTTCTTACAATTCGACAGGTATTTAAAATTGCGGCTTTTTGGAGTATAATATATGTTGAGTCTTTCAGGTCTATTAATTTGAGGCTATGGTGGAGATGGTTGGGTATAACGCCCGTAGTGGAGACGACTATGGGTACTATATAAACTTTATTTTGTCTCCAAATTCTGGTCACTTCTTCTTTAAGCTCTGCATATTTGCTTATCTTCTCGCCTATTGTTTTTTGTAAGTTATGTGTGTTTATTATTATTATTATTATTATTATTATTAACTACTGGTTGATAGCATAGTTAATCGTGAAACCTAATTAATCTTGTACTCATTTGCGATTCTCTATTAAAACGTAATGAAACTGAACCATTTTTTAAAATATTGATCACTGGTGATGAAAACTGGGTAACCTACGACAAAAATGTGTGGAAAATATCATGGTCAAAGAGTAGTCAAGATCCATAGACTGTAGCGAAACCTGGATTAATAAGCAATAAGGTGATGTTGTGTTTATGGTGGATCGGAAGGGCATCGTTTATTATGAGCTTGTACCGCCGAGTAAAACTATCGCTTCGAACCTCTACTGTCAACAACTAATAAGACTCAACCAAGAAATTGAAAAAAAAAACCGGCTGGAATTGATCAACATAAAAGGAGTGGTCTTTCATCATGATAACGCCAGACCACACACATCTTTGGCCACTCAGCAAAAATTTAGAGAGCTTGGTTGGGAAGTGTTAATAAATCCACCATATAGTCTTGACCTTTCACCCTCATATTTTCACCTGTTTCGGTCTCTTCAGAATTCTTTGGGTAGTGTTAGATTGACATCAAGAGAGGACTGTCAAAATTACTTGTCGCATTTTTTTAATCAAAAATAACAAAATTACTACAGTAATGGGATTATGTCACTACCTGCAAGACAGTAAAAAGTTATCAACAAAATGGCACATATGTATTATAATGATGTGAAAACAGTTCCAGCAAAAGTCGCAGTCTTTAAAAACCAAAAAAAAAAGTAAAGTAACAGCCTATATACGGACTATCACTGGACACAAATCTTCTCTCATTTCTGTTAATTGCTTAGCTAGGACAGTTTAATGCTGGTGTGTTGTGTATGGTGAGTGTAGAGAACTGGAGACACTTTTTACTAGAAATGAGGCATTCCGTCTTAGTCCTCAGGGGTGACAACAAATCTGCATTTGTTTTTCAATCGATTTCAAAAAAGGGAGAGGTTCTCAATTCGACTGTATTTTTATGTGTGTTACCTCAGAACTTTTTTCTAAGCGAACCGAATTTGATGATTCATTTTTTATTTGAAAGCATGTAAATTTGATCAAGAGGTGACCAGTAGTTTATGAGTTATCCTTAATAATGCGTATTTTAGTTGACTTCGACTACATTGATGATATTCTCATTTTATTTATATTGAAGTCGGTTGTACAAAATTTTTAATTTTACCACTTGTTAGCAGTTTGAATTTCGGTTTTTACTTTTGTTAAAAGTAATAATTATTAATTGAAGATAAATGTAGATGTCTAACAAACACATTCACTTACTATCAGGTAGAATGTCACACTTTTCTAAATGATAAAGGTTTACAGTGGTGCGCGCATCACGGAAAAACTACTGGATAGATTTCAATTACGTTTTCTAACTTTTATTTCTTAGATACTTGGTCCTTATCTGAAAAATATTGCGATATCTTCATTTGATATAAAGTTATTAAAGTTTTAAGAAACAACGATTTCTATAAGCACTACGTGTTCAGTGATATATGTAAGCAACGCGGATCAAATCGTGGGTATCAGTTAGTTCTATGTTCCATGTTTTTATGGGTTGCTTTAATTCATTTGTGGTTTTATTTCTTAAAAGCTGTGCCGTAGTAGTTCAGGGGCTAAGTAATCGCTGTAAATTTCAATCGTCGCCAGAACCAATAAAATTGCTGATTGTAATTTTACGTGCTGATTTACCACGTGTTCGTCAGTCTATCCTCGAAACCTGAATGACTGGAAATTATAATACATATCATCTTCTTATTCTTCTACGTTTTCGCATGTAAATATTTCAGACATACGATGACGCCCATTTTGACCAGGACATCGCGGCGGACCGTTTTTTGCCCTGGCATAAAGGCTGTAACTTTACTCTTTACACATACATACTTGGATTCTAACCAGCGGCCCATAGCTAAAGGCTTCGCCATTGCGCTATTTACTAAGCGGTCATTATGCAGGCAAAAGCGAGTAAATAAAGTTACGGATCCGTTGGCAGAAACTTAACCTTCACCTAAATTTTATCATTCGGCAGATAGGTAATCATAAGTATAGTACTCGTAATTTACCTAAGCGAGCCAAGCAATTCCAGCCACTAATTTTATGTTGCGTTTAGAAATAATTTAATTAAATATATTGATAAAAATTAAAGGACCTTATACAATTTTTGAATTGAATAAACTTAAAAAATTGGTTAGTGCAAACCATTACGATATAAAAATAAAATAATATCACTTTTAGGTCGACTAGGTCAATTGTGAAAATTATGTCTAAAAAGCAAGAAAGTCTTTTTTGCAACTTAATTTAATAACTGCGATAGTATTAATTTGAAAAAAAAAAACAAATGGAAATACATCGAACGGGTCTTGTTTTTATTAAATGAGGGTATACAGCCGATAAGTATGATTTTTTTAAAATAATTAATATAAAAATACATCAAAGTAGTATAACGGTCGATTTACAGCATTTCTGTATCGTTTTCGCATTTTGAGTTAGTTCTATAGTAGCATAACAAACGTTTATACGGCTAATGTAATGCTTATTTGAGCACAAATTATATGGATTTAGATCCCAAACAGGGTCACAATAGTTGTTTAATTGCATTACAGGCGCATTGTATTAGCATTATTGGGGCCAAAGAAGGTATCAATCGCAGGTATCAGAAGCATTATTATAGTCTATGAATATGCCAATCGCATTAAAGAAGCATTACACTAGCAAAATTATTGATAATGAAGATGTTAATTGCATTACAAAAGCATTAGACTACCGTAGAACATTGCAAAAACATCTTTATACGCGCGGTACCAAATGTTATAATACAATTAACGTTGTAATTTAACTACTTAATAATTTGTCTTGCAATATAATGTATGGACGAAGGAAAACGGTCAAAACTGAGCGATCATATTTGCTCGCATCAAAACAAAATTTATAAAGTTTTTGATTATTTTGTTATTTTATGCCTTCAAATTTTTAGAAGAGGAGGTGGAGTTATTATTTACATACATAAAAAACATAAAGTGTCGACTACTATAATAAAAACTGTGCATTTTGAGGGAATACTAACAAAAATAATCACACCCACGAAATACACTTGCAATCTACTCGCTGTTTACCGTCCGCCTAGCTTAAGCAAACACATATTTATACACGAATTGCAGCAATCATGCGACATAATTAATAAACGCGAAGACTTCTTTATAATAGGTGATTTAAACATTTACCTCGCTGTGGAAACTCCTATAAAACATAAATACACAACAATGTTATCGACTTACGGACTTGTGAGTGGGATCTCGGAATATACTAGAATTGAATTAAGAAATAACCTAATTAGTAAATCCTGTATTGACCATATATTTGCACGGTCCCACTCACAAGAGGTATACACTGCGACACTTCTAACCGCACTGCACAGAGTACATTATATAACCGCACTGGCAGACCACTGTGCGATAACATTCGCTTGTGTTGGATCTCAGCACTATATAGAGGCGGCTCCTAAATCTAAAACATTCATTGACCAGAAAAAAGTTTCTGATTTATTAAATAAAATAGAAAATAGATTGGGACTCAACTAAAAGTATTAGTTGCCCCATTGAAATATACAAATTTATAAAAGATAACTTTAATAGATGTTACAATGAAGCTCTAACAACAATTCAGATAAAAAGTAGAACATTAACGAAGGCAGAAAATAAATGGG